GTCACACATCGAAAGACATACGTGTCACAAAGAGACAGTCACATCATAGTCATAACATGGAGTCCTTGTAGAGTCCTTGTACAGTCCTGCACGTAGGCCATATTGCTATCTAATACTAACACGTTTATGCGCGCGTTTGTATGTGTTCGTTTGGGTACACCTACAGAGTGTCGTTCTGTTCAGTCCAGCGAGCGCTGTGACCATAACTGGACTTTGCCGCTGGCTGCTGGTGCGCACTCAGTGATAGTTTTAGCAATAGTCCACTTTTCTGTGGCATTTTTGGGGTGCACCGCTGGTCTGCTGTCCTGACCCTCCACAGGGTCTCTGTCAGCTCTGGAGACACGTTTACTGCTCAAACTACCTCCAAATGTAGCCTGACCCTGACTATATTCCTCCATGTCTGCTTCACCTCAGTCTCTCCTGCTCAGAGTGCTCAGACTATAGCTGCGTTTCCATTGAGTATCAAATTTCGAAATTTGAATTTGCGCATCATAAAATGTCAAATGGAAACGCGCAAATTTCGAATAAACCACAGTTTTTCGATAAAAAGTTAATGCGCTTAAAATCGGTGGTTTTTGGACGTATCGAAATTTAGTTTTTCGCAAAACGGCAATGGAAACACTTATTTCGATATAGCGGAGGAAGCCGAGCTGCTTTATTCAGTGAGTTTTGGCTGCGCTTCGTGTGGAGACTTGGGAGAGGCATGGGGGAGAGACGGGGAAGAGACGGGGGAGAGACGGGGGAGAGACGGGGAAGAGACGGGGGAGAGGCATGGGGGAGAGACGGGGGAGACAGGCAAGACCCGTGTCTATGGTTCTGTGCGCGCGTCTATGGTCCGCGCTCGGTCCATGACCATGCGCGTTCGCGGAGCTGTCAAAGCAGCCACAGTTTCTCCCGGGGTCAGAGAGGATCAGAGCCGCAGCAGAAGTCAAGACATTAATATATATCACGTAAATCAAAGTGTTGTTTACTTCTGTTGCCATGTTGACGTACTAGAAACTAGTGAATAAACGCGCGAAAATAGTGTATACTTATTCGAATATGTCTTAATGGAAACGGCCGCTTTTGCGAATTACAGGTTTTTCGAATTTTGAAATGTATCGAAAAAGTTTTTGCGCATTATTCAATGGAAACGCAGCTAGTGATCTTTGACCAAGATACCCACAGAGTTTTGCTGCCACCTGCTGGCTTAATAAAATACTGTCTACAGCCCCAAACCACAGACATTTATGATACAGGGGGCACAGACGGACAGGAAAAGATTGAAAAAACAATGTTTACGTCAATGGTAGTTGATGAGTTAAAGGCAAGGGTGAGAATTTGGACAGGGTTTTAGCCTCGCTGAGTGCTTTTCTGAACTGATATGTCACCACCTTGTAGCCATTGCAGTCACCCTCTCTGAAAGTGGACTCTTTCAATTTCCTGAGCTGCCTGAGCTCAGCACTGAACCAGGGTTTATTGTTGTTGTAGATGACCCTGCTCCTTGTTGGGATTATGCTGTCCTAGCAGAAATAAATATATGACTTCACAGTGTCCGTGTAGTCATCCAAACTTCCTGTGGCAGCTCTGAAAGAGTCCCAGTCTGTGGATTGCAAGCACGCGCGCAGCTCTTCCACAGCCTCATCAGAGCACACCGTGGAGTTCCTCACTACAGGTTTGGAGAGCTTCAGTCTCCGTCTGTATGCAGGAATAAGGTGGATCATGTTGTGATCTGAGAAGCTTAGAGTTGCGCGGGGCACAGCGCAATAAACTCTGTCTATTGCACTGCTACAGTGATCCAGTGTGTGCTCTCTGGTCGGGCATAAGAAACTGTCTGTATTTGGCTAATTCCTGCCTCAAGTTTCCCTTATTAAAATCCCCCAGGATAATAATTAGAAAGTCCGGATATATAAATGTTTAGAATTCTCGTAGTACTACGCTCGGTCCAGTTGGTGGTGTTATTACTAACTTCAGAGATTTACACTAATACTAACTTCTTCCTGTTTTTACTAGGCTAGTCTGCGCCAAACCATAGAATTGGTTCAGGTCCGGTGACTGTGGAGGCCAGGTCATCTGGCCCAGCACCCTACCACTCTCCTTCTGTGTCAAATAGCCCTTACACAGCCTGGGTAGTCATGAAAAGAAAAGAAACTAATTGAATGAGATAGTTTGTCCAAACTTTTGGTCTGTACTGTACATCTATTTATATTTAGATTACTTTCTGGACAGTGGTATTTTTTCACTTTTTTTGCCTCAAAGTAATGCTGGTGGCTACACGTTTGTCACGTGACCGGCTTGTTTTGCAGTGTTTTGAAGTATCTGCTTCAGGAAGAGCCACACAAACTCCAGAGCGTCTGTGTTGTTTGCCCATCAGTGGTCACAACGTTGCTTGCTTAAAAGAAAGGAAATGTAATTTATTCATTCATTTACATCCCTTTATTATCCATTTCTGGGTCAAGGGGGTGGCAGAGCTGCCAGCCAAATCACATAGCGGCAGTCCCTCGCTGATCCTCCTGCAGGGGGTGGGTCCACAGAAAGATGGCTGCTCCGTCAATGCAGATACGGCCTTGGTCTTTCAGTGGGGACTTCAGGCAAAGTGGAGTTAAGTGTCTCGTCCAGGGACACAACAATAGCAGACATCAGTGGGAGCAGGTGACATGGGTCGTGGTGGGATCAAATCTACGACCATTAGGTCCAAAGACCAATGATCTATCAACTGAGCCACTGTCACCATTACTTTATTTGCAGATCTAATCCCTTCTGTCACTTTACTGACCAACACTGTGAACTGGTACTTCAGTGTTGGCGAAGACGTTCGCAGCACTTGTATACAGTCACAATAGAATGAGAACTCGGGCTGGAGGCTTATTATGTTCACAAACTCTGTGCCCCCCACTGTCAGTCCTGGTTTAACCCTTGTTTAGTCCTCGTTTAATGCTGGTTTATCATGTTATGGCTGTTTTCAAGAGTCTTCACTTTCTTGTTTTGACCGGCTTGTCCCTGCTCACTGATTGGTTGCCGCATGTAAAGAAGTTCAGCAAAGTTCAACAATGTTCATCTCCTGCGTTCAAACACAAACATCGAGATGCCAAATCACCGCCTCTGCCACACCGCAACAATGTGTCTGCTGTGTCGCACATGCGAATATATTGAACAAGCCATTGATGAATTCTGATATTAAGGCCTTGTTGAAGGAGGAGAAAAGGGCGTTTTGATCAAGAGACAGTGAGGCACTGAAGGATGTACAACGGAGACTGAGAAGATGGAGGAACAGCTGAGTCAGCAGAACGTGGTCGAGGTATAGAGAAGCCATACCTCGGCCACGCTGTGAAAGACAGCCCTCCCCTGTCTTTCACACCTGCCCAAGTGCAAGGACAGCTGAGGAAAAAAGACCAGGAAGGCAGTTGGATCAGACCACATCAGCTGCTCCTGCGCAGACAAACTGTGTGGGGTTATGGGGCACGTCTTACCAGAGCCTCAGGCTGAGGTTTGTAGTCGTGACGGAGCACCTGTGACAGGGTCGGGGCTCGCTGTTTTAAAAGGAGTGTGTTCTCACTCCTGGGAGTTTTCAAGAGAGTGAGTAGAGTATTGAACTGAACTGAACTATGCTGGCTGTAAGTCCTTTTTTTTTTTCTTGCACTGTAAATATTTTTTTACTGGCTCATCACTGAGCCATCATGTTTCCCATCATTCTTTAAATGAACCCTTGCAGTAGCACAGATCTGGAAGACCTCCTGTGTGTTACCAGTGCCTAAGACACCAAAGGCCAAAGACCTCAGCGACTTCAGGCCGGTGGCTCTGACATCCTACCTCAGGAAGATACTGGAGAGACTGGTCCTTGGACACCTCCACTCCGTGGTGACCTTAGCGATGGACCCACTGCAGTTCGCCTACCGGTCAGGCATCAAGGTCATGTCCCTCATCCCACCTGGAGAAGCCCTACTCCGCTGTGAGGATCTGCTTTTTTGATTTCTCCAGTGCCTTTAACACCGGCCACGGCTTCTTAGGTTGTAGTCCTGTCCTGCTGCCTGCAGCTTGTCCCTGTCTGAGTCCTACCTCACAGACAGACCCCAGTTTGTGAGAACCAGGGACTTTGTGTCTAAGGTCCTGTCCTGCATTGTCGGGGCCCCCCAGGGGACTGTTCTCACGTCATTCCTCTTCACCCTCTAGACTGCAGACTTCAGACACAACAGGGTCGCTTGCCTGGGGAAACTAAAGATTTGGGATGGACAAGTGCGCTGTCTTGGCATGTTGCCCGATCGGGCAAGTGATTACTAGTGATTAAGACCGGCCGGGAAAGCATTCCTGAATTTCTACCTCTAGATTGGTTTCTATTCTCTTCATTTGTCAATTCTCTGGACCATTGAAATTCATCAGGATAAACCAAGGATAAACATTTTCTGAGGATCTGTGATTTCCAACTTTTTCCTGCTAACAATCTCAGTTCTGTGAAATGTGTGACCGCGGGCACTTGGTGCTGTTTCCTGTACGTACTCGAACGAGATTCATATCCTCCGTTCTGACCCGGGGCAGCCGCGGCCGCTTTGTAAACAGCTCACACACACCTGTAACATGGTACCGAGCGCGGACCATAGACGTGCGGACAGAACCATAGACGCGCGTTCAGGATGCAACATCCCCAACTTGTTCCAAGTGTGAGTCTCCTCCGTGACACTCCGTATTAGCGTATACAAAGCCTGCTTCCTCCTGGGGTTTAACATACGAGCCTCCCAGACTTCCTGCCAAAGTGAATCACAATATGGCCTTTCTGTATACAGTATATCATGCCACATATTAAAAATGATAACTTAAACAACATTCCAATGACAATTATCTATCATCTTGAATAATAGGTTGCTCTTATTTTCTAATTCTATTCTGCTGTAATGTGCGCAACAATGACATGGAAATTTCTCCACTGAGGGACGAATAAATCTTATTTTATCTTAGTCTGGCTGTAGTTTGTGTGTAGTCTGTTATATGGCTGTAGTCTATAATATGACTGTTGTGTGGTTGTGCAGTAAAGCGGCAAATGGGAAGATGCTGTTGTACGAGTCGTTTGCTCAAGCAACGGCACTCGGAGATCTCCACACGTGTTTAATGATGGACATGAAGGCCTGTCAGGAGGACGACGTGAGGCTGCTCTGCTTCCTCACACCCAGTATATATACTGAGGTATGTATATTGAGACATGTACATTGAGACATACTGAGACACTTGAGCAGAGTCTTTGCTGTTCATCAGAGGACCATTTAAACTGTGACGATGTGGAGAAATCACTTGATTTTAATGAAAGTATTAATACATATACTAGTGCGAACCGTATTTTACCAATAACCAAAACTCATCTCTGTGCGCATGTCTCTGTGTGTGTGCAGTTTCCAGATGAGACTCTTCGGAGTGGAGAGCTACTCAACATGATTGTGGCGGTGATCGACTCCACTCAGGTAACACAACTACAAAAAAAAATCAATCACGGTATTTTTATGGTTCTTACTGTATCATAGTGTGTTTGTCTCTGTGTGTGTTTGCAGTTACAGGAGCTCATGTGTCACGTGATGATGGGAAACCTGGTGATGTTTCGGAAAGACTCTGTCCTCAACATCCTCAGTCAGTGACACACTCATAGATTATACTAAATACAGTGGTCCCTCATTTATTGTGAGGGTTTTGTTCTAAAAATAACCCACAACAAGAGAAATCCTTTCAGTAGCGGGTGTATGTTTTAAGGCTATAAAACCCCTCACATACTATATAAACTTTTCTAACCACCTGAACTCACAACTGCTGAAGTACGATCGTGGAGATATCAAACATGTTGATTGTAGGTCTGAGTGCTGCTGCAGTTGTCAAAAGCCGTGCACACACTAAAATAGCAGGAACAGGAGTGAGGACTACTGCTCCTGCACTAATCACATAAGCCACAAGTTTCTTATGACTCTAAATACAAGTAACTAGTATGTTATACTGTTGGTGTATATGAGTGGCACATGAGAATCAGGCTGTTAAAAAACAAAACATAAAGAAGCATGTAAAATTACACACACAAATTACATCCACATTATGAGTTACTACTGTATGTTTATAATATACAATTACACAGATGCAGCTTGTGGTCTCTTTTTTTCTCCACAACAGAGCACTTCCAGTGGCCCTTCTCATGCACAGGGGTAGCTTACACGGTCATTGACACATGTGGAACTCGGGATAGGGCCATGAGCCTTGTTTGGGGCCGGGCTCTAAAGTCTCTCGTGTCTGACATGTCTCTGTCTTGCTTCAGTTCAGTCGTTGGACTGGGAGACGTTTGAACAGTACAGCACCTGGCAGCTATTCCTCGCTCACAGTATTCCACTGGAGACCATCATTCCAATACTGCAGCACCTGAAGTACAAGGGTTAGTAGTAGCAGTGGTATTGGTGGTAGTGGTGGTGGTAGTGGTAGTAGTAGTAACTACTGTCCTGCTCTTCTGTTGCAGAACACCCTGAGGCCTTGTCGTGTTTACTGCTGCAGCTGCGGAGAGAGAAGTCAGAATCACTGTTTTATACATGATTATTATACAAACACTAATTGTAAGGAAAAACCACTTGAACATGTTGGCTTGGAGTTAAAAAATTAAAACTAAATCCTAAAGCCTGGGCCCACTTCGCGATTAGATATTGTGCGTCACATTACGTCTTCCTGTTGCGCTCGTTGTGACGCGCATTTTTACATGTCTCTACAGCAGTCAAATACTTTTGTATTCTCCCTGCTTGTATTAAACCTATCATATAAGCCCCCGGACCTTGGCGCTGGGAAGTGTCGCTCCAGGCATTTCCATTCTTTCATTGTCATTAATTTCTCAGCGCTTACGCTCTTTAATCCAAAGCGCGCTCCTGTGTCCGTGGCACGCACACACACGTATCCCACTGAGCTGCTGCACTTTGGGGAAAGACACGTCTCACACTTGTACACATTGCTCTGATGCAAACAACACGCTCCATGCTCGATCTGTTAGCTACAGTAGCAGAAAGTAAACAGGAATAGAAACGGGAACTTAACTCGGACAGTCGCTGGAGTTTGTATTAGCGCCACCAGCTGGACCGAGCGTTGTACTACAGCACAGTTGCTCTGGCACGGTTGCAAAAACAGGCTCTTGTGACCGCGGGCCGTCTTCACACCCTTGTGGCGACGATCCGGGCCACTTGGCCTATTTTGTTTGTGAAAACCTATGTGACCTTGCCCTTAAGGTAAGGGCTAACTCTCACCCTTTTGTCAGTTGAGGGTTTAGGGTATTTTGCTTTTTTTTTGTACTGACACACTACGATAGTGATGTTGTCCCCATGACATATTTACACAGTTCTCGGCACTTCAGTCAAGTGAACCACACACCAGGGAGAGGATACCTCTCATGTGTCCTCTCCCTCCCCCTCCTCCTCCCATGTGTCCTCCTCCTCTCATGTGTCCCCTTATTTGTCCATAGGCCTTCAGAGGACATGGTGAAGATGGTTTTGTCCCGTCCCTGTCACCCAGACGACCATTTCACCACAAGTCTGCTGCGACACTGGGCCACACGCCACGATGAGACTTTGGCCGAGAACATCAAGGCTCAGCTCATAAAGAACAACAGCCAGCCCCGGAAAAGACAGAGGTGAGAGGCCGGGGAGTGAGGCCGGGGAGTGAGGCCGGGGAGTGAGGCCGGGGAGTGAGGCCGGGGAGTGAGGCCGGGGAGTGAGGCCGGGCTGCGAGGCCGGGCTGCGAGGCCGGGCTGCGAGGCCGGGCTGCGAGGCCGGGCTGCGAGGCCGGGCTGCGAGGCCGGGCTGCGAGAGAGATAATTCTTACTTAGTTAAAGGTACTGTATATAGGGGGAATTTCTTCTTCAAGATGGATCATCTAGACTATTGGTCCTCATAATTGTCAGTCATTCTGGTGATATGTGACGTACGTGCTCATCAAACAAGACCAGTGTGTTTTTAGGAGATTCTTTCATGCGATGGCATGCGCTTAAAGCCCATGTAGGGCTTCCCACGACGGCCTGGACACACCGCAGGTGAAGGGAGTGACTCGCGCCTCTCATTAGCAGAGAAGGTTTTTGTCTCACGGCTGTATATTCACCGGCAGATCGCCCTGGGACGAAGCTGCTGATGTTCCCTATATTGACTGACTTGTGGTGAACTGCTTTTATCCTATGAACCTTCCCGGTCCCTGCGCTCCTCCGGCAGCAGACTCCTAACCATTCCAAAAGTCAGAACACATACACACGGTGAGGCATCTTTCTAGCACTATGGCCCCCGTCTCTGGAACAGTCTGCCAGAGGAGCTCAGGGCCGCAGAGAACGTTCATATTTTTAAAAGCAGGCTCAAGACACACCTTTTTAGATTAGCTTTTGATTAGCATTTATTTTTCCATTTTATATATTCTATTTATCTTTTTTAGACACATTTTATTTTAACTTTATTATTGATTATTGTTATTGCTATTATCAATGTATCGTAAGATAGTTCCTTTTAGTCTCACATTTTAGTTTTTTTACGTTTTTTTATTTAATTTTTATTTTTTTATTGTTTTTAGTATCCCCAGTGTTTCCTCTGGAGGAGCCCTCTGCACTGGGAGCGGTGGTCAGCTGTGGCTGTGGGGGGCCTCGGCTTTATGTCTCCTCTGGGTCCTGGGGTGTGGCTTTTGGGCCTGGACCCTCGGCTTTGTGTCTTCTCTGGGTCCTGTGTCGTCCCCTGTGGCTACGGGTGGCTCTCTGCTCCTGGTGTAGACGGCCTTGTGGATGACGCATTTTCAGCTGGTTGCATCTGAAACCTGCCAAGTCTCTCTTCATGGGCGGCACGGTGGCTGAGTGGATAGCACTCTCGCCTCTCAGCAAGAAGGTCCTTGGTTCGAATCCCGGTCGGACCAGGGCCTTTCTGAGTGGAGTTTGCATGTTCTCCCCGTGTCTGCGTAGGTTTCCTCCGGGTACTCCAGTTTCCCCTACCACTAAAAATGCGCCTCCTGTTCAGCAACCCCGCTCCCATCTCTGTGTGGAGTGAACAATTGTAAACCGCTTTGTGACTCTGGTCTGTGAAAGGCGGTATATAAATAAAGATTACTTACTTACTTACTTTTACTGTTTTACTGGTGTTTGTGTGAGTGTGTGTGTAAGCGTGCATGAGAGCGTGTGTGAGTGCATGTGTGGGCATGTGCGAGAGCGTGTGTGTGTTTGCGTGTGTGTGTGTGTTAATAATATATGTGGTTTGGGTAGGGGTCATGGGCGGGATTGTAAAATGTGAAGCACTTTGTCTTGTATCTTTTGTATGAAAAGCGCTTTATAAATAAAATTTGATTGATTGATTGAAGTAGTTGTCTGACAGACAATAAAGACGTAGTCACTGTAGCGATGCCTACAGTGACTTATAAACAGTGACTGAAAGAGAAGAACTGGGTTTGTGCATTTCTCTCGCACATGTTTTAGTAGGTCGCCCCACTGGAGTGGGCTGTTGTTTCCTAAAATTCGTGAAAATCCTGCTTTTTACCTTTTTAATGAGCCATTCCAACTGAATGGGGAGTTGTATACTTTGATGGCTTCCAGGGGGTATTAGTAGTAACATTATAATGAGCACTCTCAGAACGTTGTGTATTTTCAGTCTGCGCAGTTCCAGCTCTAAACTGGCTCAGCTGACTCTGGAGCAGATCCTGGAACATCTGGACAATCTGAGACTGAGCCTCCAGAACGTCAAGAACAACTGTAAGGACCTCCTGATGACAACTTTATAGAGACACTAGTGTAGCTCCTGATGCCACATATGTAATATATTTTTATGTTTTCTTAGTTTTCTCTCAGACTCCAATTCTTCAGGCTCTGCAGCACGTTCAGGCAAGCTGTGACGAAGCACACAAAATGAGGTAATGTGAATGGACTACTGTCACTGCTACTGCTGCTACAACTGCTACTATTGTTGGTATAACTGTTACTGCTGCTACTAGCCCTCCTCTTTTCTTACATCATGGCTCTGCATCTAGGTTCAGCGACCTCTTCTCATTGGCTGAGGAGTTTGAAGACGCTCAGAACAAACCTCCAAAGTCACGGCGTAAAGCGGCTGCTGCCTCCAGCCCACGGCAGAGGAAAGGCCCCGCCCCCCCAACTGCCACAGCAACCACTGAAGAGGAGAGTGCAAGCAGCAGTGCATCGGTATGACACACACACAAACGCACTCCTCCAATCTCCTTTTCTCCTAACTCCTCGTCTTGTCTCATCAGGAGGAGGAAGACTCGAAGCCTAAAGCTCCGAAGAGGAAGAGGAAAGGTTCGTCGGCAGTGGGATCTGATAGTGATTGATTAGCCAATCACAGAGCAGCTTGAACTATGGCTCCTCCCTTAGAACCAAAAGGGGTGGACTTAAAAAAAACTGAACTCTGACCTCAGTGAAGGTTTCCGCGGTGAGCTCATCATGCACTCGGCTGTGTTGTCATCGAGCTCCCATCATGCACTGGGCCTTTTATTCTGACTTATTTTGTGCCCGTAAGTTTTCATAAATTTTTTGTGTAATTGTTGTGTATCCAAGCTTTATTTAAACAAACAAGTGTCGGAGGACAAGACAGATGACGTCATAGACGACGTCAGACATGTGAGGGCAGATTACGTCAGGATGATTTCACACAAAGATGACACCATCATATACAGTGCCTTGCGAAAGTATTCAGCCCCCTTGAACCTTTCAACATTTCACCACATTTCAGGCTTCAAACATAAAGATAGAACATTTTAATTTTTTGTCATGAATCAACAAGTGGGACACAATCGTGAAGTGGAACAAAATTTATTGGATAATTTAAACTTTTTTAACAAATAAAAAACGGAATAGTGGGGCATGCAATATTATTCGGCCCCTTTACTTTCAGTGCAGCAAACTCACTCAGGAAGTTCAGTGAGGATCTTTGAATGATCCAATGTTGTCCTAAATGACTGATGATGATAAATAGAATGCACCTGTGTGTAATCAAGTCTCCGTATAAATGCACCTGCTCTTTGATAGTCTCAGGGTTCTGTTTAAAGCGCAGAGAGAACCATTAAGACAAAGGAACACACCAGGCAGGTCCGAGATACTGTTGTGGAGAAGTTTAAAGCCGGATTTGGATACAAAAAGATTAAAACATCTTTTAACATCTTTAACATCAAGCTTTAAACATCTCAAGGGGCACTGTGCAAGCAATTATATTGAAATGGAAGGAGTATCGGACCACTGCAAATCTACCAAGACCCGGCCGTCCCCCCAAACTCATCTCAAACAAGGAGAAGACTGATCAGAGATGCAGCCAAGAGGCCCATGATCACTCTGGATGAACTGCAGATAACTACAGCTGAGGTGAGAGAGTCTGTCCATAGGACAACAATCAGTCGTGCACTGCACAAATCTGGCCTTTATGGAAGAGTGGCAAGAAGAAAGTCATTTCTCAAAGATATCCATAAAAAGTCTTGTTTAAAGTCTGCCACAAGCCACCTGGGAGACACACCAAACATGTGGAAGAAGGTGCTCTGGTCAGATGAAACCAAAATCGAACTTTTTGGCCACAATGCAAAACGATATGTTTGGCGTAAAAGCAACACAGCTCATCACCCTGAACACACCATCCCCACTGTCAAACATGGTGGTGGCAGCATCATGGTTTGGGCCTGCTTTTCTTCAGCAGGGACAGGGAAGATGGCTAAAATTGATGGAAAGATGGATGGAGCCAAATACAGGACCATTCAGGAAGAAAACCTGTTGGAGTCTGCAAAAGACCTGAGACTGGGACGGAGATTTATCTTCCAACAGGACAATGACCCAAAACATAAAGCCAAATCTACAATGGAATGGTTCACAAATAGACGTATCCAGGTGTTAGAATGGCCAAGTCAAAGTCCAGACCTGAATCCAATCGAGAATCTGTGGATAGAGCTGAAGACTGCTGTTCACAAACGCTCTCCATCCAACCTCACTGAGCTTGAGCTGTTTTGAAAGGAAGAATGGGAAAGAATTCCAGTCTCTCGATGTGCAAAACTGATAGAGACATACCCCAAGCGAGTTGCAGATGGCGCTACAAAGTATTAGCGTAAGAGGGCCGAATAATATTGCACGCCCCACTTTTCAGTTTTTTATTTGTTAAAGTTTAAATTGTCCGATAAATTTCGTTCCAAATTTCGTCCCACTTGTTGTTGATTCTTGACAATTTTATTAATTTTTATATCTTTATGTTTGAAGCCTGAAATGTGGCGAAAGGTTCAAGGGGGCCGAATACTTTTGCAAGGCACTGTATGTCACATACAGTGGGGCAAAAAAGTATTTAGTCAGCCACCGATTGTGCAAGTTCTCCCACTTAAAATATAAGGGAGGCCTGTACTTTTCATCCTAGGTATACCTCAACTATGAGACAGAATGAGGAAAAAAATCCAGAAAATCACATCTGATTAGGCCCGAGCCCCGAACGGGGTAAGGGCCTATTGCTTTCACAATGGTGAAAACAAATGGTGTCGGTGCGTGACGGACGCACTTTGCGGCGCGGCAAATTGTGACCTTTTTTTGGCCGTTTTTGACATTAAATTTGCTCCCGTTTGCACAAACAAAGTCTGATTTGCACAAAACTTTAATACATTGTTCAACTCTAGGGTCTAGGTCATTTGAAAGTGAATTGATTCAAATTGACACATTAGCGCCCCCTACAGACTATTTCAAAGTTTTAGATGGGCATTTTCGAAGTTAGTTGGAGGGCCGTTTGACGCCGCTTGCGGCTTTATTTTTTTTTTTTATATTTGCAACTTATGGTTGGAAAAATAACTATTTGGACCTGAAACTCCTTCAAGAGGCTCCTCTGCCCTCCACTCGTTACCTGTATTAATGGAAGACCAAAGACCAAGAGTTTCCAGATCTCGACCCCATAGAGAATCTTTGGAGGGAGTTGAAAGTCTGTTGCCCAGCGACAGCTCCAAAACATCACTGCTCTAGAAGAGATCTGCATGGAGGAATTGGCCAAAATACCAGCAATAGTGTGATAACCTTGTGAAGACTTACAGAAAACGTTTGAGCTCTGTCATTGCCAACAAAGGGTATATAACAAAGTATTGATGAACGTTACTGACCAATATGTGATTTTCCTGTATTTTTGTTCTTCTCATTGTTGAGGTATACCTATGATAATTACAGGCCTCCCTCATCTTTTTAAGTGGGAGAACATGCACAATTGGTGACTAAATACTTTTTTTGCCCCACTGTATGTGACAGACCACGTTAGACGTTACACACAAATGACGTCAGACTGGCAATGTCACAGACTGAGGGCAGCATCATGCTTTGGTCAAAGGAGATCAACACTAACAATGCTCGTCAGTGGAAGTGAAGTTCTAAACATGAAGCTTTGTTACAAGGTGAAAATGTAATTTATAATCTACTTTTATTACAATTTACACACTTACACAAAACAAACCAGTGGAACACTTTTATTCACCACAAACTCAACATGATACAAAACACTGGATTAAACAGCAGCGCTCCCTGCTGCTGTGTGAAGGGAACACGACACACCACCTAAACCGTCTCCATGGTAACATTTAAACACGTTCACGATCAGAACTCGAGTCTATATGAACCTCAGAGCACTAAAGCCCTATTCGGACGGGATTAGTTTTACATGGGGACCCCTGGTAATTTGTGATAATCACAGAGGAGGTCTGAGATCTTGCAGCGCATGGGAAAAGCAATGACTGTAATTTTCCCTGACATCTGACATAACGGCCGCACGTGCGCGGGTCTTTGTGTCAGTGAAGACATTACACTGTCCTCTACACTTCTCCATAGACCTCACAGAGACAGCAGCAGCCGCGACTCTGCTCCTCTGCTCACTGACAAAAACAATGCAGAAAGTAAAGCGAAAGTGGCAGAAAGTAAAGCGAAAGTGGCAATAGCGATCACAATCACTGACATGCAGATTCGCACAGGATTAGTATTATCACAGCACGTCTGTGTTTGGACAAATACAGGAGGTCATTTGCGGCGGAATTATCACTTTACAAATTACAGACATGGCGCATTCGCACAGGACTAAAATCTCAGACGTCCTCTGCGATTATCACAAATTACCAGGGGTCCCCATGTAAAACTAATCCCGTCCGAATGGGGCTATAGATACCTGCCACAAATACCATGGCAGCAGCATGCAGGACACGGCTGTCCCACATTGGACGGTTAAGTGTGACATCTCACACCCAGGTTGAAAGTTGCGGCGGTTGACAACTTTATGAAATGAGTTATGCTAACAATAATGCTAACAGCTAAGCTAACTTCATAACCAACCAAAGGAGAAGTGGGATATGAGTTGGAAAATAATAAAGTCTGCTTACTTTCATTTATTTAGTTTAACCCAGGTTAGGTTTACCCTGGACCTTGAAGTGACTGACGACATCCATTAAGGATCATAAAATGTAGTCTGTCACAGCTGGATGAAGTGAGAGTGGTTTCTAGCTCTCTGCTCCACGTGCGCAGCTCTCTCGTGAACGCTCTTGTGCGCTGATGCTTCACCGTGCACTGCTCTGTCTTTGTGCGTGCCCCTGTCCATGTGCGCGCCTCTGCTGCTCATGTGCACGTTTCTCCCCTCTATGTGCGCACTCCTCCCCTCCACATGCACGCCTCTCTGCTCTATGTGTGGGGCCCTGTCCACCTGAACACTTCTCTCCATGTGCGCGCTCCGAGCTTCTACGTGTGCAGGCCTTACATGCGCAGGCCTTTGATGTAAATTGGAGTGCACGTGAAAAGCTTTGTCCACGTGCACGGTCCTTCCCTCCACATGCGCGCTTCTCCCCTCTACGTGTGCACCTTTCCGCTCTGTGTCAGTTGCGCCCTCAGTTCTTGTTTCCTTTGTCTCTTGTTTTTTCGTCTCTGCCCCCATAACTGCAGACTCCGCCCCTCTCATTTCCACCCCTGCCCCCCTGGCTAACAGCCCCAACTCTCTTGCCGCTAGCCCCGCCCCTCTCCCCACTAGTGTCTCCTGCTGGCTTCTGAACAGCAGTTCTCCCACCGCTGCATCCAGCCCAAGTCTCCGGCCCAGGTCTAAGCCCCGCCCTTGGAGGTGTGTAGTATGCAATGACTCCTCCCCCCTGGACACGCTACCTCCCGCAGGCCCAGCCCCTCTCTCCAGCGCCCCCTGCAGGCCACGGAAAAGCTCTGAGTCGGCCGTGAAGGAGGAGAGCGCAGCGGGCAGTGTTCTGATCAGTTGTGGCTCCTCCCCCCTTTCAGGCCCTGCCCCCACCCCCCTCTCAGACCCCACCCCCCTCTCAGACCCCACCCCCCCTTGGTGGCCTCTCATGTGGATGTTCAGGGAGCGTTTGGCCTGAAAGCTCTTGCTGCAGATGGAGCAGACGTACGGCTTCTCTCCTGAGTGAACCAGGATGTGACGCTTCAGGTCCACGTGCTGCATAAAGCCTTTCCCACAGACCTGACGCATGCAAGGACGGAAAGGACACATAGAGGGGATGGGGGACAGGGACACAGAGGGGCAAGGTGAAAGGAGGAGTGTCAGACATCAACAGAGCAAAACTGACAGTGGGAGATAAAGCTACCTTCATAGTCATATTTGGCAGTGTATGTATGCAATGTGTGGGCAGCTGGCTGAAGCTGGTCGAGAAAAATCCCAGTAGGAATACTGTTGGGTCAGCACTAGATCATAAACGGAATCGGGACGGAAGCGGAAGTAAATATAACAAACTACCTATTCATGCCTAAACTTAACCAGCCATTCCCATAAAATAACCCCAACCCACCCTTAACCCTAACCTTAACCATCTTAATCAGACGCCTAAAACTTAACCAGTCACCACTTAAGGACTTTTTAGTCTAAAACTAATTTGAAAGTAGGATTGTTACTTCCGGTTTCGTCCCGATTCCGTATATGATCTAGTGCCGACCAATACTGTTGGTCCCAGCATTTACTCTTGTGGTACCTCACAGGTTATGTCCCTACAGCTTGATTTGTTGGACAATATGTGGCTCTCCATTTCTTTGATTGTTTTTTTGTTATTTCCTCCATTAAATCAATCAAAGCAAGTGAAGAAGATTAATTTGCCTAAACCCATATGGACTATCAGACAATTACTCTCAGTCCTAGCGTTCCTACAGGTGTGGTGTCAGTCCTACCTGACAGAGGTATGAGCGCTCCTTGAGGTGGAAGCGCACATGCACGTGGAGGGTCTGCTTCTGGGTGAATCCGCGGCCGCACAGGTGGCAGGTGAAGGCGCGCTCTCCCGTGTGGATCTTCAGGTGGGTCTTCAGGTTCCCACACTGGTTAAAGGTTTTACCACAGATAGAACAGCTGTACGGTCGCTCGCCCGTGTGCACACGTTCGTGCATGAGGAGAGAGGCCTGGGCGGGAAACCGCTTCCCTGCAGAGAGAGAGAATCAGAATCAGAATAATTTTTATTGCCACGTAAGTAACAGGAAGGAAGTGAGAACCAGATCAAGAAGAAGAGCGAGAGGGAGAAGCAAAGAGAAAGGGAGAGATTTTTTTTATATAAACAAAAACTACTCTGATGAAGAGGGCATTTTGGCTCAGATGAACAGGACACTTTGACTCTGTGAGCTCATACCACAGATGGTGCAGGAGAAGCGATTCTCGTCGTAGTGCTCCTTCAGGTGGTCCGTGAGCGCCAACTCTGTGTCACATGACTTGCCGCACAGACCACACACACCTCCGTCACCATGAAAACACAGGACGTGTTTCACCAGTGCCATCTTCCTGCGAAACTCTGCGCCACACACGCGACAGGCTCCACCCCCAGCGCTCTTTTTCCTCTTCTTAGTCCCCTCCTCTGGTGATGGCTTTTTCTGTGGAAATACAAACTGTAACAAATGCAATAAGAGCAATAATACCCCTTTTCCACAAAGAGGCTGGTTCTGGACCTCACTTGCTCTCTCAGCTTCCTCTTGGCTCGGGGCTTGGTCTCCGGTTTCCTCTTCTTGCGTTTTTTGCGTGGTTTTGCTTCAGTCTCCGAATCGTCTTCCGGTTCAGCTGCAGCCCACTCGTCCTCTCCTGTGTCCTTGTCTCCTGTGTCCTTGCCTCCTCTCTCCTTGTTTTTCTCGTCTCCTCCGTCCTCATCAGGACTTTGACCTGCCATTGTGTCCAGGTACTAAAAATAAAACACATGGTTATTTCTCAGTCCCAATCCTTGCACTAACCTGAACTATACTCAGCTTTTTTGGACAAATATTTTTTAGTTTTTTTGGGATTGCAAAGGACTCAGATTGACCGCTAATATTACAATTTTTGCTGTTGCCTTAGCCTAACACAGGACCTCTTTGTGAACAAGACCAGAGTGGATTGGGGGGTTATAGGGACAAAATCTTGGTTCTCAGTTTGAACAAAACCATTTGTCCTAAATACTTCTTTAAGAACAATTGTGTTAATGTCATTTGCAGAGACAATCCACCCGTCAGTCAATTTCTCACCAAGTAGTCCACGATAGCTCTACTGCGGTCTCCTTCTCCTTGATTGGCTACCTGCTCAGCCCCTGCTCCGTGATTGGTGGAGTCACCACGGTGGCTTCTCAGGTGTCTCCAAAGCGTGGTCACATGACTGAAGTGTGCAGAGCACAGGTGGCAGGAGAAGTTGTCAGCCGTTGTGGTCTTGGGTTTGGGCACCAGTCTGACCCCAGGCTTTCGGCCGCGCTTCCTCTGGCTCTTCTGCTGCGACTCCTGCTGCGCCTCGTGCAGAGACTCCTGCAGAGACTCCTGCTTTTCTGAGGAAACACAAATGTGGAGATTCAAACTGTTCATCAAAACGCTTTATTTTTGTCGAAGCCAGAACCACAATAGAAGTCATCACAAATGTGATTGAGTTTTGGGTCAATCACAGCTGAGGCCATTCCACTTCTTGATTTGAAAGGTCTCAATGATGAAAAGTAAAATTGAGGGATTCCACACTTTTTCTCTGGAAAACAGATACACAAGGGCACTCACCAGCCTGTTCCTCCTGCTGCCCCTCCTGCTGCACATCCTCCCCTCTCCTATCTGCAGACTGCAGCAGTGTCTCCAAAAGCTTTCTCTGTCTCTGTAACTCTGTCTTCAGCTCGGACTGGATCTTCTCAATGCTACATTTGAACATCTCCAGTAGGTCCTGAGCTGCGGCCTCCAGCCTCCACCCGAGCACTGCCCGCTGAGTGGAGTCTAAGGTTGGGTGAGTGGGAGCCAACACGGCCTGTAACCGGACATCCACCGAGTCACGAAGGGACTCCAACACCTGGTCATGCACTGAGTCCATGACCGCCGAGTCACTCACCGAGTCCATCACTGCAGGAATGAGGACGACAAGAACACAAATACTTACACACAAGCTGAAGGGACATAACCTGTGGGGTACCACAGGGGTCCGTCTAAGGACCAACGATATTCATAATGTACATTCATGAAATATGCAACATATAAAGATCCAAATTTCACTTCAGCCTTTAATCACCTGCAGGATTGTGACTAATGTAATGTGCAATGTAGACATCACTTTGTTCAGAGCGTTAACACAATTGAAACTGTGTTTACAGGCCGTGATCCACTTTCAAAAGTGTATGTATGTGTGTGTGTGTGTGTGTCAAAAAAAATTGTGTAATACACAATGAGTGAGTGTCTCCGGGTTGAGTGGACAAGGAGGGTTTGGAAATTCCTAAGTACCTGATTTGTAATAAAGTCATTATAACAGTACAGAATAGTTAGGGGTATTTTAAAGTACTGCTAAGCTTAAAATTTCTAAAAGTGTACTATCAACACAGAGCAGAAACGGTGAGGTGTCAGTGAGCAGCACAGTACTGCACAGTATTGCTATGACTACAGTATTACTAAGATACAATACTTTGTTGATCTCACAATGTAGAATTTCAGTAACTAAGACCTAATACACAGTATTTCTATAACTACAGTATTACTATGACTACAGTGTTGCACATCTGAACGGTACGTTACCGTGGGAACTGTGGGGGAAATGGTTGGAATCCGCGGTTCACAAGAGGACTATGTATGAGGCCATCCTACCGGGGTAATGAGAAACTTGTACCCAGGTTAAGGGTGCATCGTTCCCGGGGAGATGTGAGGTCTGTTCCCGGGCGGACGGCAGCTTCAGCGCGGCATGTGTGCACTCCTGTCTGCCCAATGGCAGTGGGAGTACGGAGAAGAGCGTGAATCTGGGGGTTTGCTGCTTCGGCCGTGGGGGTGTCAGGCTTGGGTTGTTTTTCGGGCTCTGTTAGCTGAATGGAAGTAAACAAAGCCAGTTCCGTCGGATGAGTTTCCTCTGCAGTGAGTGAAACAGCGGTGCGCAGTGGAGTGGAGGCGAACACAGAGAAAACAACAGTCTTTTTGCACTTACAGATACATAAACCAGACACTTGAAACTCAGCACAGCGTTTGGATGAAACAGCGTTAAAAACAGAAATATGTTACTTAAAAAAGAAACATTCTGCTAAGCTGTGTGATTGACAGGTGCTCTGGCAAATCATAGCGTTACATCGCATCACCACCTGCTGCTGCCAGCCAATCACAGAGCCGCATTCCGTTGTTGCTAGGCTAGCGTCTATCCACAACAGAGAGCAGGAATTCAGCTTCGTCCTTCAAAACAACAGCAGCAACGTCACCAAAGGGCGATATATGTCGGCTCATTAGAATGAATAGTTCCGTTAATAAATTGTGTTGAATTCTCATGCTTTGCCCAGGTGTGTATGTTTAACGATATTGGGGTTAATAACCTGAATGCAGCTTTTTTGCTACGTTTACTACGAAAGGCCGGCGGACGCAGTCGTGTTTCGGCTTGCTGTGTCTCTTTAAAAGTATCCTCTGCTCTCCTCCTCTCTGTGGCTCCATCTCCACTCCGCCTCGGTCTCCGCAAAGTCCAAAGTGTTTCTGGCGCTCTTCGGGTCCATACCATGGCGCTACTCGTCCTACATCTGGTCTTTTTCACGCTGGCTTTTCGCGCCTTTGCAGAGAGCGCGCGCAGGGACGTTCTGGTGCTCGCGGACGGAGACTTCGATTACCTAGCAACGGAGCACGAGACGATGCTCGTACAGTTCTACGCTCCATGGTAACGGCCAAAAATCAACAATAACAAAACAGCAACAACAACTTCAACACACTACTAAAACAACATCACAGCAATTGGATTTTAGACATTTTAGTGGCCCCTGAAATTACTTTCAATTATCTTTATCGCAGTAACTTGCAGAATCAATGGTAAGGGGCTACTATGGCATGTTATACTTTATTATAAAGCCTATTTCGTCTCAGGACAACTACCATATTAACGAATATGTGTAATGTAGTTTGAACTTATAGTTACTTATTTGTATTTATTTTTGTAACTATCTGTCTTCCAATACATCTCTTGAATCCAATCTTCTAGAAAAACAATTCCAAGCTCATGTCAAACACAGTAAAAAAACACTTCTGGCCCCAACTAGCTATAATGTTTTTGAATTTGGCCCTTGACCAAAGCGTGTTTGTCACTCCTGCAATAGACCATACAATTATATACAATCTATATGGTTAGTTTCTCCTCTCTGTGTCTCTTGGAGATACATGGGGTTCTGGAGCAGAAAGATCTATTCTATTATGTTCACATAAATATTTGGATAAAGAGGCATCATGCCTAGTGTTGTTATTGAGTTAGGTCTCATTTTGTCACAAATTAATGGATCTGTTAAACGTGTGTTTTAGGTGCGGCCATTGTAAGAAATTAGCACCAGAGTTTGAGAAAGCTGCAAGAAAACTGAAGGGAACCGTTCAGCTGGCCAAGGTAAGAGTACTGCAGTACTAATGTACTACACTAGTGCATAACCATTGTACTTGAGTACTATTTTAGTACAACACTAAACTACCACCAAACTACAGTACTAAAGTACTACAGCACTACTGTAATACTGTTATATTACGGTACTAGATTGATGGATAGATAGATACTTAATTGAATCATTAAAATTCAGGTGTCCAGTAACGGCAGAAACACATCCAACCATACAAACAAAACAAATGAAGACATAATTATAAATGTAGCAAACAATTCTTTACTTGGAATTGACGTTACGTCCGCCTCATTATCTATGTGTATCACAAAGTGGTGGTCAGCCGAGCTAGTTGTTCACTAGAGCAGCGTGTCTGAATATGCCTTGTGCATATTATTAGGAGGATGAGTTTAACTTTAACCACAGTAGCTTCAAAGTGTTATGAAGTATCCAAAAAAGCACAAAAATACTCCGAAGAAGAGTTGCATTTTCTTTGCATATTAGCAGCAATTTTTGTTGGCCTGACCAGCACTTCATTATCCGGAAGTTGTTGTAACACAGGTGTAATGTGAGGTCTGTAACACAGGTGTAATGTGAAGTCTGTAACACAGGTGTAATGTGAGGTCTGTAACACAGGTGTAATGTGAAGTCTGTACCACAGGTGTGATGTGGACTGGTTTCAGGTGACTGTTAAGGTGGACTGTGGTTTCAGGTGGACTGCACGGCGAGCACTGAGCTGTGTGTGCGGTTTGGAGTGACCGGATATCCAACCCTGAAGGTCTTCAGGAGCGGGAGAGACGCGGGCCCCTACGACGGGCCCCGCTCAGCAGGTACCAGACCCTTGTGACCCAAACCACTGCTGAGGACCGAATTTAACGGTTCTTGTTGTTGCAGAGGGGATGGTGACTGTGATGATGAAACAGTCTGGACCCGACTCTGTTCTACTCCAGTCCAAGTCCGACCTGGATCAGTTTGTGGACCAGTACGAGGCCAGCATCGTGGGTCAGATCTCCAGACTTAGTCCTGGTCTTAGTCTAGCCTCTGGTCTCTGGTCTTAACCCAATCTCTGCTGCAGGTCTCTTCGCTGCTGGCTCGACTCGTCAGGCTGAGTTCCTCAAAGCGGCTGCGTTGCTACGGGAACAGTTCAGATTCTCTCACAGCTCAGATCTGAGTTTGGGGCAAGACTTTAACTGCAGTGCAGAGTGAGTCTTTAGGGTTTGTGTTTCAAGTATTCTTATAGATATGAAACACAAAAGGACACAGGTTCATTAGGTCTCTTCAGGGTCTGAATGCTTACAGACAAGTCCTCAGGCCTCAGGGTCTAAAGGTCTGCAGACAGGTCCTGAACCTTGTCCTCTTTGCAGGTGTGTGCTGCTCTTCAGACCTCCTCGTTTGAACAATAAGTTTGAGGAAAGTTTTGCCGTTTTCACAGAATTTTTAACCATCACCTCATTACGACGCTTCATCCGAGACAACATGTGAGTCACACCTCAGACAGGCCTGGTCCAGACCTGGTCCAGACCTGGTCCAGACCTGGCCCAGACCTGGTCCAGTCCTGGTCCAGACCTGGTTCAGTCCTGTTTTCACAGATTCGGCCTGGTTCCTCACATGACCCTGGAGAACTCGGAGCGCCTCAGAGTGAAGGACCTTCTCACCGTTTATTATGACCTCGACTACGTGCACAACATCCGCGGCTCCAACTACTGGAGGAACAGGTGAACTGCAGCCCAGGCTAATGTAGCTTTAAAACTGGGGTATGTAACCTGTTGTAGAATTACATACCCCAAAGCAAGGAGAAAGCTCAAAAGTATTTGTCTTAATCAGGAGCGTAAGTTTATTGTACACACGTGCGGAGAGCTCACACACAAAGGCAGCATGCATCAGCTCTGGCGCGCAGAGCTCCGGTTCCTGTTTACATAGACAACACATAAAGACAGTCACGCCCACAACAGATGGGAGGGGGCCACCAGTACAGGAGGCGCATAGGGAGCGTAGGCGCCATGCCCCAGCAGAGACAATCAGACCGTGCCATTGAGATGCAATGCATCACCTTTTGTTTTAGCGCAAGACACAGGAAGGCCTTTGTCTTAGGTGTGAAAGGAGCAGACAGCAGAGGCCTTCACAAAACTCAGCATGGCGTCAGAAGGCCGTCTCTGCATTGATTAAAGGCCTTTGACGTCCGTGTATTTGCTGCGGCTGGTCTAATTTAATTACTCTAAAAACTGTCATTACACTCCCCTCTTTTGATAATTCAAAACCATTTTTGCATTAATCAGTTAAATACCAGAGGCATCGTAATCACATCACCTTCAAGCTTGAAACACTTAAATTATTGCTGTCCAAAGTGGACAAGAAAAGAAACATGCTTGTCAATAAAAGAAAGAGCACATTATAATAACACAATGGATCCGGACAGCGATAAGAGTGCGGACAGTGTGTCCGACATAATATGCCACGGGCCCATGCCGGTATTAGCCTGCTACGCGGGGGTTCTGTAGTCTTTTCCGCGGCATGGCGATGTTCGGTCTTGGAGCGGCAAGACCCTAATCGCGTTGGGGCTTTGGCCTCGGCACTTCGGGGTGTGACCTTGGGGTCCGGGGGCAAGGGAGTTGGGCAGAAGGGGGGTCGCCTCGGGAACGCTGGGATTCTCTGGGTGTTGTTGTTGGCCTGCTTCACCGACGGTGGTCGCACGCCGGCCGACCTCTTCAGCGTAGGGAGCCGCGGATGGGCCTGGTCCGTCCCCACCCTCGGTGTCCTCGTCTATGGCCCTCAGTGGCAGCACCGCACGACAGTGGTAACGGCAGTGTCCGTCACCAGGAGGACGAGGTCTGGGCCCAGCCAGCGCTTGGACCGCCAATGTTGTCGTCTCGTTTCCTTCACCAGGACCCAGTCGCCTGGCTTGATCTTGTGCGGAGCCGCCTGCGCAGCCTGTGGCAGGGCGCTCCTGACCTGGGCAGAAATAGAGGGCAAAAGTGCATTAATTTCCTTACAATAGGACAGCATGTCGTCATCACACAAAGAGGTGCTTGGCAGATCTCTGTTCGGGGGTCCCGCGCCCAAGTTGGGTGGTCTGGCAAAGAGGATTTCGAATGGGACTCTCATGCGCATGTACATGAGGGCTAGCGGCAGAGCTTTGAGTGCCATTCTCTCGCTCGCACGCGCCTCCGGACCAGGGGGCGTAACTGCAGTGTTTACGTATATCAATGCCCAGAAATTCACCCACTTCCTCAATGACTTTTGCTACAAAGTGACTGCCATTGTCACTAGAGATTTTCCCTCGGGACACCCCATCGTGGCACAATTTCTGTGAGCAGAGCTTTCACCACCGCGTTGCTCGTGGCGTGTTTGCATGCAAATATTCAGTCCATTTGGACCAGAGATCCGCCAGGCCCAGACAGTATTTCTTACCTTGGCATGGTGTGAGTTCAACAAAGTCCCTTTGGACATGTTGAAATGGGCGCAGGGGCGGAGGATGAGCAGCCTGTTGGATAATTTGGGACTTACCTGGGTTGTGCGCGGGGCAGATAGCGCATGTTTGGCAGAATCTCTGTGCAAATGCCGTAAACCCCTTTGTATACCAATTTTGTGTGATTAAATCACACATCCCTCCTTTTGAGGCATGGTCTCGACCATGTGCTAAAATTGCAAACTGTCTGAAGAAATGCCGTGGTAGGCACGGTTTGCTGTCTGGTCCCAGCCACACACCATGCCGTCGTTGAGCCCCATTCCCCTCCCACAGCAGCGTCTCTGCTGGAGTAGCCAGTGCCTGCATCGCTGACAGAGAGGAGAAAATATCAACGTCTTGAGTGAGGTAGTGTGTGTGTGTGTGTAGAGGTGCGTATGCCGCTGCCTTGTCCGCGCGCCGATTCCCTGCAGAGATGGGATCAGTGGCATTAGTGTGGGCCTGGCATTTGCATACAGCGATCTCTAAGGGCAACATTACAGCTTTCAGCAGACGTTCAACCTGTGTGGAATTAAGAATTGGTTTACCATCAGATTTCATAAAATTGCGGTGTTTCCACAGTGCTCCCCAGTCGTGCACCACAGAGAAACCATAACGCGTATCACAGAATATGTTAACAGTTTTGCCCGCTGCCAGCTCACAAGCCCTGGTGAGCGCGACCAGTTCAGCGGTTTGTGCTGAATGATGGTGGGGCAAACTACCAGAGTCTATAGTATCAAAATCAGAACACACAGCATAGCCGACTCGGTTCTTCCCAGTGTTGTCACGTGACGCGGCTCCGTCTGTATAAAAAAATCAAGTCAGGATTAGTCAGAGGCACCTCTTTCAGGTCTGGCCTGGGAGTGCATCTCTGTTCTATTGTGGCGATACAGCAGTGTGCCTCCCCTTCCTCTGGCGTGGGCAGCAGTGAGGAGGGGTTCAGCTGTGTGCATCTTTTCACCGTGACATTGGGGAGTTCAAAGAGCACCGTGTTGTATTTCAGCCAACGAGCCGCAGAAAGGTGAGAGGTTTTCTGCTCTAGCAGGATCAGGGAAACAGCATGGGGCACAAGCAAAGTTAGTTCAGTGTATCCCACAAGGTCACGTGATGCTAGGGCCGCTTTCTCAGCGGCAGCCACAGCCCGCAGGCAGCGAGGCAACCCTGCTGCCACGGGATCGAGTTTTGCTGAGAAGTAAGCAGTGGGTCTCAGTGGCCCTCCGTGAGACTGCAAAAGTACCGACACCATGCACCCACATCGCTCATCCACAGTCTGAGTGAATGGCCGTTGGGTCAGGGAGACCTAGTGTGTGTGTGTAGATTTGCTGTTCCGTTCATCTCCAGTTGCTTTTCTCCCGGATCGTCCTCAATTCATATTGTGGGCTTTGGTGCCAAGGTAGAGGCTCATTTCCTCATGATCCATACTACTGTCATCCCTGAAGCAGGGGTAGTTTATCTCTCATCTGAAAAAGAAATATTAGAACACAAAAAACACAAAAAAATGCCCACTTTCCCTGGCATTGTGCCGCCTGTCAATCTTTTTTCCAATTGGGCAAAACATAACTGTATTGACAGACGGTGTGTGACATCAGGGCGGAGGCTGTAGCCAAATACAGACTTAACAAAATGTATGTTTCTAATTTTATACTCCCCTAAATGTGAGTTTACAAACCAAAGTTGTCCTTCAACCAACGACAGCTCACTGCGGTTGGACCGAATCACTGTCAGGGCAAACAGCAGAGGGAGGGACTCCCAATATCTTCAGCAAGGTATTTCATCTCCGAGTACTTTCCGCAGAGTACTTTTCTCAGAGTACTCATCCCAGAGTACTCTCACTTTTACACCTGTTCAATAAAGCTTGTTATCTTTGAATCTCTAGTACTTACACCGTATGCTGTTGACAAAAAAATAATTATTCCATGATCACATTAAAACATTACAGAAACATTTGTTATTCCATGATTTCGTTCAGCACTCCTCGTTCACTCCACAACACACTCACAACACACTCACAACACACTCACAACACCCCACGTTAGTATATTGGTCCAGTTTGTTAAGGTCAACGTAGTGTATTTGACATGACGCACAAACATATAACATACACAAACATATAACATACACAAACATATAACAACACAGAAGGCCTGTAATTTTAACTTTGTTATATTTTTCCATGTCCAATTACAATTGTCTCATGAGCTATTTCTATTGTTGCAACTTTCAGAGCCTGCAGAACATGCAGAGCGTTAAGAGGTTTTTCCTAAAAGGATCCATTTCCAACTTTAGTGTTTACCACGTGGTCTGTACTTCGGGCTTATCACAGATTGTGTCCCCTATATCTCTAATGAGCTCTTGTTACCTTAAAAATGTTTATTTTCCTTATTTTTTCTTTTTCAATAAAGCCAGGTCGGATTCATTAAAAATGTAAATTAGTCTCAAACTTTAATACTTCACCTTTGTTTCACGATAAAATGTTTTTGTTGCTCATTAAGTAGCACAGATACCATAGAGTGGTGCCTATCTTCGCTACACTGAAGCCATGAATTTTCAAACTCCAAGTTATTGTCTGGGAACGACCGGAGAGAGCAGCTTAGGTCGTTCGCGTGGTTGACCTCCAAATTTTGTGCGGGCGTCACTCTATCCACTGTTGTGGCTAATAGCTTAGCAATCTCAGGGTTTGGTGTCAATTTCCAGTGGTAGTTAACTTTTGGGGCCGGTGCCTCCTTGTGCATGCCGGTGAAACATGGAGCATTTGCTAGGTCACCAGCGTGTACCACCCGTAGGCCGCTTGGTGTTGAGAGCAGATTTAAATTGAGTCTGCACATAAGGTCTCGGCCTAGTAGATTGACCGGGCACAATGGGGAATATAGAAAAGAATGTTTAAGCTGGCTGCCCTGAGAATCAAAACACGTTAGCGGTGACGTAAATTGCTCTTTAGTCGTCTCTCCCGACGCTGCTAATGAGAATGTGAAGCGGCCACTCATTTTAGGGGAGACAGAAAGGCTGTCACTTTTTAGCACAGAATTTGTTGCCCCGGAGTCATCCAGAATTTTAACTTGTACACCACAGATTGTTAGCGTATATTACGGGAATTCAGCATGAATTATCTCTAAAAAGTGCCAATTGCAATTTGTTGTTGTTCAAACTTACATGAGCGGTCGCTTTGGTGACGAATGTGAACCCGGGTTTGGTCAGTCGCTCGTGTTTCCTCCACGCCCGCCTCTGCCGTCCTCTGGCCCCGTGTGAGCTTGAGCGTTCCTCTGCCTTTAACGCCTCCTCCGGTAACAGTCCTTCGACCCATGTCGAGCACACAGTCTTTCCGCCGGGCTGTGGAAGTTTCTCAAAGTCCGCAGGAGGCCCAGGTAGCCCAAAGCGTTCAAATAATGTTAGCCTGTGGTCCATGAGGGTTGGTTAATACCCAAACGTGCCGGTCCCAATGGCTTCTTCTGTTTGCGGTGCGGGGGCAACTTTCAACGAGGTTTCAGCGGGTGCGTTTGGTGTTTCACGCTGCCGCCTCCGTGGGGAACAGTCACGGGATTTGGAGCAGTTTGTCTCTGGCCTCCAAAGCAGTTGTCGGTGTCTCACATATCTGCTTCCGCCGCTTCTTCTTCTGCGGTTTCCTGAGCGTGTATCTGCTTCCGCCGCTTCTTCTTCTGCGGTTTCCTGAGCGTGTATCTGCTTCCGCCGCTTCTTCTTCTGCGGTTTCCTGAGCGTGTATCTGCTTCCGCCGCTTCTTCTTCTGCTCCCGGGTTTGGGCCCACTTCTCGCGGGGTCTCAGCTGGTGCGAGCGCCGCCGTGGTTGGGGCGTGGGGCTGGTGCTGGGGCTTTGAGGCAGAGGGAGAGCGCGGAGGAAAGCGCCGACAGACCTGGACAGGGAGAGGAAAAGGGGACAACAGTAGTCTGCTCATTTTTTAAAAACCCAAAGCCTTGTTTGGGTGCACACTTATTGTTAGTAGGGGAAAAAGGGCGGTAGGGTGGGGGTGTGGGGGATGTGTGTGTGTGTGTGTGTGTGTGTGTGTGTCCGCCTGTGTGTCCGCCTGTGCGTTCTCCGCTTCGGTGAAAAGCGGAGGAGCTATTGTTTTTACATATTTCTTTCTCTAACGTCTTTTGCCGTGATATTCTTAAAACCAAGTATATTTTTTTTTTTTCTTCTTCTAAATTATCACGCAAGATGCGTAATTGATTCAGAGACATAGAGCCTCTATCGGAAAAGCCAAATGAACTGCACCATAGGCAAGCACTCCATAGCTTTAGATCCGAACTGTTTTCCCATTGCCATTGTAACGGGGGACGTTAACATTCCCCTCGGTGTGGCATCTCTAGATTGATTTTTCCCCATTTTCTCGTACAGAACAATGGACCTAACCCGTTTAGTCTCTCCCTGCTCTTACCCACTTTGGAGCGCTCCGTTCCCCCCCCGTGGGTTCTATATACCCAACGAGCGCGCGTTCTTGAAACGGAGCGGGTCTGGCTGAAGACACTAGAGAAATTATCAGGGTCGCTTACTGAGCGATTACTAACACGCAGCCGCTAGCTTCAATCTAGAACAAAAGACCCCAAAAAATCCCGCACACAGTCTATGCTGTGGCAATGAATGAAATACCCCAAAAAATACATAAATAAACAAATCCCCGTGTACACTTAAGTGCTGCCCTGGGCTCGTTACGCAGATGAAAAGACAAAACTCACCAAATCAGGTTCTTTTTGGTCTTGTGTGGCCAAAGATTCTGTTCACGCGCAGGACGAGCGCGCCCTCCTTGTCTCCAAATAGAGCAGAGGCTGGTGTTGTTTCCAGGTCGGCCAAACGCAGCCGCTCGTCCCCGCCGAAAGGATCCATGCCAAGACATGTCAGCAACGCCAAATTGTTGTAGAATTACATACCCCAAAGCAAGGAGAAAGCTCAAAAGTATTTGTCTTAATCAGGAGCGTAAGTTGATTGTACACACGTGCGGAGAGCTCACACACAAAGGCAGCATGCATCAGCTCTGGCGCGCAGAGCTCCGGTTCCTGTTTACATAGACAACACATAAAGACAGTCACGCCCACAACAGATGGGAGGGGGCCACCAGTACAGGAGGCGCATAGGGAGCGTAGGCGCCATGCCCCAGCAGAGACAATCAGACCGTGCCATTGAGATGCAATGCATCACCTTTTGTTTTAGCGCAAGACACAGGAAGGCCTTTGTCTTAGGTGTGAAAGGAGCAGACAGCAGAGGCCTTCACAAAACTCAGCATGGCGTCAGAAGGCCGTCTCTGCATTGATTAAAGGCCTTTGACGTCCGTGTATTTGCTGCGGCTGGTTCTAATTTAATTACTCTAAAAACTGTCATTACAAACCTTAGAGCTGGGCTCGGGTATGAAACATTACAGCTGGGGTATTTAACATTTAAGCTGCTGTCTCATGTAACTTTTTATATAGACACATATAGCAGTTTCTTCCAAGTTTCAACAAGCTGGCCTCTCCACAAACCTGACTCGTCCTCTCCTGTTAGGGTGATGATGGTGGCGTCTCAGTTTCGTGGGCGGGGCCTAAGTTTCTCTGTGGCCAATCGCAGAGACTTTGAGGCGGAGCTTCAGCAGGAGTTTGGTCTGAGTCCTGATCCAGGACTCCCTGTCGCCACAATCCGAACGCGACTGGGCCTGAAGTACACCATGAGGGAGGAGTTCACGTGCGTAATATGACTGCTGCTGCTGCTGCTTGTCTCTCATCAGTAGTACTGATACTAGTGTCTCTCTCTCTGCAGGAGGGACGGTCGCTCTCTGCTCAGATTCCTGGAGGATTATTTTTCGGGGAGACTGAAACCTTTCATCAAATCTGAACCTATCCCTGAGAAGAACCTCGGCCCTGTGAAGGTACTGCCCCTAGTGTGAGAAGGAGGTACTGCCTCTAGTGTGAGGAGGAGGAGGTGCTCCCAATGTGGGGAGGTGGTGTGGACTTAATATGAGTCTTTCAGCTGCAGACTCATAAGTGCTCCTGTGAGATTTCATAACACTTTTAGGCAACTTTTGTTAAAGTTAAACTCATCATTCTATCAATGTGCAGAAGCCAGTACTTTTCCCTTGTTTTGTCTATCTGAAGGCCAAGCTACAAGCACACCGTGGCAGCTGCTGATTGGAGGTCTCCATGCCTCCGCTCTGTATAATACACTTGCATTCTGTTGTATCTGTTGATCGTGCTGTCTCTACCATTGACAATAAAACATGTCTTCTGTCTGAATGAAAGACGCGATCCCAGACTATGTCATCTTCTTCAGGTGGTGGAAGGATGCGGGCCTTGTCTGTAACATCTAGAGAACAGAAGACTTTTTTTTTTTTACACAAAAAGTGTTTTTTTTAAGCCAAAACTGAGAAACCTCAAGAGAAACCATGCATCTGGATCAGCACTTGGACAATCTGCACAGCCCCTGATTCCAGTCAGGCTGTGAGCTGCTGAGACATGGACAATACCATCGTCCTCTTTTGCATGGACATGATTTGGAACAATCTGGATTTCTGAATTTGGACATAATTTGGACTGAATTGAATTGCTGAATCTGGACACTGAAGCTGAAACGTGTGATTGAAAGACACGTCACAGAAGAATTCATGGTTCGACACAAATGCAGCCTGAAGAAACCAACAGGAGAAGTGGGAGAGACTGTTTTCAAAGCAATATCTGGAACCACCATCGACTGATGAAGTTTGGTATTTTACTGAAGATTGTTGACAAGTTTTATGAAAGATCTGAACATGTTTTATGAGTTTTTTGAAGTACCGAGTGAAGTACCGAGTTTAAGTATTGAGTTATGATGTTATGTTGCTGTTTATCGATCCTGATGGTCACACGTGAATGTATGACCAGAGGGGGGAATGTGAGATTTCATAACACTTTTAGGCAACTTTTGTTAAAGTTAAACTCATCATTCTATCAATGTGCAGAAGCCAGTACTTTTCCCTTGTTTTGTCTATCTGAAGGCCAAGCTACAAGCACACCGTGGCAGCTGCTGATTGGAGGTCTCCATGCCTCCGCTCTGTATAATACACTTGCATTCTGTTGTATCTATTGATCGTGCTGTCTCTACCATTGACAATAAAACATGTCTTCTGTCTGAATGAAAGACGCGATCCCAGACTATGTCATCTTCTTCACTCCTTCTCTCTCCTCCAGGAAGTGGTAGCAGACTCCTTCTCTCAGCTGGTTGGAGATCCTCACACTGATGTTTTGCTGATGTTCTACTCACCACTGTGTCCAACCTGCAGACGACTGCAGCCAGTGTACGAGCAGCTGGCAACAGAGGTGAGTCATCTGACATACGAACATGTAGGAAGAAGTCACGTACCCCAGCTTTAAACATGTGTTATTTAAGATGAACCTTTATTTGTTCCTCAGTGGGATATTTCAATTGCGCACATTACAGCAGAATAGGAGGATAAATGAGAGCAGTCAGGTTATGCAGACATGAAACAGGATCTATTATTTAATATAATTATACTAATATTAAAATAATCAAGTGATTTAAAAAATAAGATGAACTATTGAGCCTGAAGGTCGTGGGTTCGAGCCCACCAGGGGACCTTCTCCACCGACTCTCACTGATGTGTGCTGTCGTTGTGTCCTTGGCAATACTCTGTCTTTACCTCTGGGAACACCAACCACAATGGCCTTTGTGTCCTCAGGCAAGACACTTCACCCCCATTGCCTAGAATGAGTCTGGTGTGTGTGTGAATGGTTGTGGTGGTCGGAGGGGCCAATGGCACATACTGGTTGCCTCGCTTCTGTCAGTGTGCCCCTAGCTGTGGCTACAGTAGTAGTTTATCACCACCGTGTACAGAGTGAATGAATAATGACATGTAAATCGTTTTTGCGTGTCCAAAAAAGCGCTATATAAAACCAATGCATTATTATTATTATTAAGTCACCTGTGGAGTATACAGTACACTATGTGAGGCCAGACTGTCCTATGAACACTTCTCACTGTCAGATGTCTGATGAACACTCTCCCCACAGCTCTCTTCGGAGCCTCAGGTCGTTGTGGCGAGGATGAACGCCGTGGACAATGACATTCCTCTGGGATACGATGTGCAAGGGTGAGGCTGACATCACCCTCTGCAGGGGTGAGACTGACACATCACCCTCTACAGGGGTGAGACTGTGATTACCTTCTTTATCCTTAAAGATCAACTAAACACCAGCGCCCAGCCTTACTCTGCCCACATGAAAATTAGAAAATTCTCTCTAAAAATCGGCTTCTTGTTCCCTAGTCCCCTTGGACTAGGGGACAAGAAGGGGGGCTTGGAGTTGGGCGTGGTCTGGGCTGTGATTGACAGCTAGCTTGTAATTATGGAGAGTGACAGTGACAGGCAGCTTTGCGGCCAAGTGCCCCCATCCTGTCCTATCAAAGTGATAGGACACTTTGTTTCTGCGTATTAACTGAGATTGAACAGAAGAGGTCCCAGGATCGACCCCTGTGGTACTCCACAGGTCAGGGCCATATGATCTGAGACACAGTTTCCAATCTCCACAAAGTACTTCCTGTCTTCAAGGTAAGACCTAAACCAACTTAGGGCGGTGCCAGCGACTCCAACCCAGTCCTCTAGTCTCTGTAAGAGGATCTCATGGCCAACAGTGTCAAAGGCAGCACTTAGATCTAACAAGATTAGGATTGAGACTTTGCCTGCGTCAGTGTTCAGCCGGATATCGTTTGTAACCTTGACGAGAGCAGTCTCAGTGCTGTGGTGGGGTCTAAAGCCGGACTGAAACATATCAAATGAGTTGTTGATTATAAGAAATCTATTTAGCTGTTGGTAGACAACTTTTTCAAGGACTTTCCCCATAAATGGCAGATTTGAGATGGGACGATAGTTGTTAAGTACCGTAGCATCCAGACTGCTCTTTTTTAGCAGGGGCCTGATGACTGCAGTTTTCAGGGCCTTTGGGAATATTCCAGAATGAAGGGACATGTTTACTATCTGTGTGAGTGAAGGTAACAGACTGCTCAGAACAGACTTTAGAAATCTAGTGGGTAGTACATCCAGGCTGCATGTGGAGGAGCTCAAACTGGAGATTATCTCTTGGACAGTTTGATCATTTACAGATGCAAAGTAAGTTAGCTCAAAGAGCCTTTCTGGTTGTTGGATGGTTATCTTTGGATTGGAGACAATGGCGTTTTTGATGCTTTGAACCTTGTCATTGAAAAAATGTGCAAACTCATTACATTTACGTTTGGAAGTTAGCTCTAATGGCATCTGAACAGGGGGGTTTGTTAATCTATTATCTGTTGAAAACAGAACATGCAGATTGTTGCTGCAGCCTTCAATCATTTCAGAAAAATACCTTTCTCTCGTACTACGTAGCACCTGGTTAAACTCGCACAACTTATCTTTGAAGATCTTGTAATCAACCTGGAGGTTGGACTTGCGCCACTTCCGCTCGGCCCTCCGGCACTCTCTCTTTTGTGCCCTGACCGAGTCTGCTTTAGCCCACGGCGCCTTCTGCTTATTTTTCACTATTTTAACCTTCACAGGGGCAACGGTATCCAGAACATTCAAAACACTAGAGGTGACAGAGTTAAACAGTTCATCTACAGTAGAATATGATGCATTCTCAAAGTTTATCATTCCCATAAATAGTTCACCCCTATTTTCATTTATGTGTCTTCTTCGTACAGTTGCAGAGTCCACTGGTGGTTTGTTAGTGAAACACATGTCAAAAAATACACAAAAATGATCCGAAAGCGCAACATCGACCACGTTTACATTAGAAATTTTCACCCCCTTTGTAACTAACAGGTCTAGAGTGTGCCCTCTGCTGTGGGTGGGGCCAATCACATGCTGAGTGAGACCAAAAGATTCAAGAACAGAACTCAGCTCTTTTGCATTTCTGTCAATAACATTATCCACATGAATATTAAAATCCCCTGTAATAACTAAGCTATCAAAATCTGTGCATACAACTGAAAGCAACTCTGTAAAATTATCAATAAAACTGTGACATGACTGCGGTGGCTTGTATAGGACAATGAAGAGTATTGGAGGAGATTGTTTTTGTTGTATTTTAAAAGACACATATTCAAATGACTAAGACTTCCCAAGAGACATTCTATGGGAGACAAAGTGGTCTCTGAAAATGGCAGCTAAGCCTCCTCCTTTTTTTGTTTTCCCGTTCAGATTCAGATTTAAATTTGAAATTATGGTGGTGATGGTCAATAAAACATTATTGATTAAAAAAGACTTGCTACAAAGAGATCTGACATTTAGCATAGCAAGTTTCAAAGTTTCAGGATCAGCGGTTGTGGTCGGCTGATTCTTACACGGAACAAGAATTAGATTTTCCTGATTAGACTGATTAACTTCAGATGTTTTTCTGTTATGTATTCTTTGTGTTATCACTAAGGGAATGGCACAGGTGGCTTTATGACAGGGCCCCAGCCGGGTCTCTCCTCTAACTAGACTGCCAGTGGCTGCGAAGCAGAGACCCTGTGCATCCTAGTGTTTAGAGAAAAGAGGGGAAGGGGAAGGCGGGGGAGGAGGATGGAGAGGCGGGTGGTTCTTGGGAGTTGGACGGGGGGGGGTTGAAGGTGGATGGGTTTTTGGTGATGGGTTAGGGGAGGGGCAGGCTGAGTTGGGTGGGTGGACGAGGGGGGAGTGGAGGTGGAGGGTTTCTTGGTGCTGAGTTAGGGGGGAGGTGGGCTAAATGAGCAGGAGGGGGGGGTGGAATACTTATGGGGTTAGAGGAGGGACGGGTGGATTTTGTGGGAGAATTTGAGTTGGACGCCCTAGGTGGCTTTGGAGGTACGTATGGGGAGTAGTTTTGAATGTTAGATAGGACTCTTGATCTGGCTACAGTGGGTGTGAGAGGAATAGTCTTCATCGCCGATCTTATCATGCCTGCCGAGTGTTCCGGTAATTCCAGTAGTGAAGGCGGGGATAGAAAACAAAGGGAAAGGTCGTCCTCATTTTCCCTAGATGGAGTGGATGTAGCGGGGGGGACCCAAGCCGGGTCCATGGAAGGTGATGAGGGAGTCTTTGGTGGAGACAGAGGTGGTTGAGGAACCCCCAGTACAGGCCTGTCTGTAGCCTGGAGCAATGGGGGAAGCTTCACGGGAGCTGTAGGTGGGGAAGGTGCTGCTGAAGATGATGGAGCAGCCACTGCTGCTGCTGAAGATGATGGAGCAGCCACTGCTGCTGCTGTATCCACTGCTGCTGGTGGTGCTGTATATGCTGTTGGCGCTGATGAAGATGTGGCAGCTGCTGATGATGCTGGTGGTGGAGGCGTTGAGCTCTTTCGGAGCCGTGGAGGTGTTGAGTTCTTTTTGAATCGTGGAGGTGTGGAGTTCTTTTGAGGCGGTGGGGGTGCAGAGACCTCGGGAGTCGGTGGAGATGGTCGTGATGTCTGTGCCCTTTGCTTCTTCTTTCTCCCTTTCGACGGCTGCACGCGCTGCGCAGGTTGAGGTCTTAGGGCAGATGCAAAGTTATCCATCAACACTTTTACTCCGTAGTTGTTTCAGATGTGGACCTTTTTCTTCAAAAAGCTCGTGCCTATTCCAGAACAGATTAAAGTTTTCAATGAAGCCAAGTCCTCTGCGTGAACACTCATTGAGTAGGAATGTATTTAGCTGATACAGACGGCTAAACTTCTCCATTTTTCCATCTATTTTTGGAAGTGGTCCACTAAGAAAAATGTGTATGTCCATTTTCTTGAGGTCATCCAGTAACAGCGTTAAATCCATTCGGAACTTCTCGCTTGCCTTCTCAAAGATATCTACCGCCCCCGTGTGGATCAATAATGTACGCACACCACTGTTCTCAGATAACACTTTAGGTAGAAGAATCCTTATCTCAGCAACTTTTGCAGAGTGAACTGAAACAGTGAGCATGGACTCCATGTTTACATTTTTCACCGAGCCATCTCCGATAAGGACACAGTTTGTCCTTGGTGGAGGCGCTGCAGTTGTTAGCGGCTTTATTGTTTCAGAAAGGGGTAAAAAGCGGTTTGAAGTCTTCAGAACATTTAGTTGTGGCCTTATTTCACTCCTATTGTCATTCTTAGCTTTGTCAACTTTGGGTTTAGCTCCACAATTGTTCCAATAATTCTCATTGTTGATTTTGGGAAAAGAAATGACGTCATAACTTACATTTCCAGTCTGTCCATTCATCCCATTTTCACTCATTGGAAGAGTCGGGTTTAGTCCCATTTCTGTTTCCACAATAGATATCCGTGTTTGAAGAGATTTGAGCTGATATTCCAGAGCACAACAGCCGCCGCAGACGCTTCTCCGTCTCTTTCGTCCCGACATGACTAAAGTTGATAAATTCCACAAAGCTGAAGTGTGTAGAAGGAGTAATCCTCGTTTTGTAAATAAAATGATTAAAGGAGAAACAAAAAATGTAAATAAAATGATGCAAGGAGATTAAAAGGCAAAGCAAAAGCAGAGCAGAGAGACACACGACTGCTCTCTTGAGAAGCAGGAAACAGACCTGCTTCTCAAGTGTTACATGTGACTTCTATGACTGTGACCCGCATCAGGCAGGAATTCCCTAAGGATGTGGCCTACACAGGGTTCCTCCCTGTCCTGATTTTTCATGGCCAGTAAACATATCAATAAAAACACAATTGCTGATTTCTGAACATTTTAATAGCTTATCTTGTCTCAAACAAAATCAGACAGTTGTCATTGCTGTCTTAAAGCAATAGTTTACACACCAGAAATTCTCATTCCACCCTTTTTTACACACAGCTGAACTTAAGCCACAGAATAGGTTCTATTATCTCAGTAGCAGTAGTGGATCTCAACTGATGTGTTTTAAACCTCTAGATGCAGCCAGAAAACAGCACTTCTATCCTCTTCACACAATGATTTAGTCATTGTGTGAAGAGTGGATAGAAGTGCTATTTTCTGAACTAAACTAACCACATCTAAACTACCTGTAAACACTAGAAACACTACGCTAATAAATTGTTAACCTGAAAATGTATGAAAATCGCTGTTCCAACTCCAACATTGCTACATGGGCGTGTGTGAGACTTGGCTACTTTTATACCAAATATCAATTGTAGTGCCACCGATAGCTGTAGGCTCATAAGTGAGATTTTATCTAATTTGCTTAGTTCTATCTTAGCTCTTGTTGTGATTGCTGTTTCAGGTTTCCAACCATTTACCTGTGTGCGGTCGGGAGGAAAGAGGATCCAGTCCGATATGAGGTCTTTACTGACACCAACACACTAACCCTAACTCCTGACCATTGACCCCTAACTCTGTGGATATGATGTCCATGTGAATTTCAGAATGTACTGAAGTAGTAATTTTAATAAAGTTTATGATTTTTTATTTTATTTCTATTTTTATACCTGACTTATTACACACAATGGCAATGAAAATAATTCTGATTCTGTTCTTTTAGGGGCCACGAGAACTGAAGGATCTCCTCAAGTTTGTAAGGAGAGAAGCGACCCATAGTCTGAGAGGGAAGGACACAAGAAACGAACTGTAGGAGGCAAGGAAAGCAGACAAGGGAGCAACTGCAGGAGACAAGGAAAGGAGACAAGGGAGCAACTGCAGGAGACAAGGAAAGGAGACAAGGGACCAACTCCAGGAGACAAGGAAAGGAGACAAGGGACCAACTCCAGGAGAGAAATAAGATAAGGAACCAACACTGCACTGAGTGAAAGCAGATTGAAGAGCTGTTTTAACTGGACAGAACTGAAGGAAGCAGATAGAAGAGCTGTTTCTGATGACTTCACTGTTTACCTAATGAACTGCACTTTTTTTTTAATTGATAAAATGTTTACAGACTTCAGTGGCAGGAGATTCATTTGTTATTTAACCAATATTTATTTATTAATTTCATGTTTTGAATAAATGTGTTTAATAAAACCTTTATTGTCATTTTTATCTTGTTTTGAACTGAATGAGGTGTCACAGACCAGGCTCTTTCTGTGAGGATAAAGATGTATTATTTATATTTTTGTGTGCTCCCTTTGTGCTCTTACTACTGTCCTGTATATGTGCTGGAATATTGAAATGTCCCCACTGTGGGACGAATAAAGGATCTCTTATCTTATATTATACTATAGTATTATTTATTAAACAGAACTTCGGTATCACAGCGCAAATGTCAAAAAAAATTTATTTATTTGACAGTTTGTCCATATAAAGGTAGTCCTCCGTCTTGTTGTGTTCTGTGATTGGTTGATTTAAATGTCAGTCATCACTCCTCGCCTTCTCGCTTCGCCCTTTTGGCTGTCTTCTTCTCTCTGATTGGTCTGTTTCTCTTTCCTCTCGAAGCTTCCACAAAGATGTTCGGACAGCAGGTTTTAGTTCTCAGTGAGTTCTGTTTAAACTTCTTTATGTGCTATGTAAACCTCCTATTGAACTTTCCCGGGCCGCGTAGATTTGTTCCCGGCCGTGTGGAGCTGTCTGCCGGGCTGTAGATCCATTTGCAGCCGCGTACTGAGCCTCACAACTCGGGGAGAGGCGAGGCTCTGATCCGGCACATGTGCGGCTAATGCTAACATCCTAGCGTCTCAATTCGTTCTCTATGGGTCTGGGGCTAATGCTAACCTGCTAGCCTTTCCCATTCGTTCCCAATGGCTCTGTGGCTAATGCTAACTGCTGCGTGGAGACGTGTTTGTGCTAATGCTAATTCCTTACTCTGCACAAATCTACGTTATTCCTGTGCTTCCTCTAACGCTGCACTTTGCAAATAAATGTTTCTGTACGCGTTTTATATTCTGTATTAGTCTCCTGACCGATACGCTCGCCCCGCGGGAGCTGTCATTGTTCTGTCTGTCTGAACATAATTACTTCATATTTATACACTTCTGGTTCAGTGTTCGTGGTACAGGCGGGTTGTGGTCAGTGTTCGTACAGACTCATGTGAGTACTCATGATGCTGTGGCTGCTCCCAGAGTCTTCATGAGGATTATACTGATGAAGTCAAATTCAAGGCCAGACAAGACTTGCATTAGATTGTTAGATGGGGAGATCAGAAATGTTTGATTGTTTACAATGAGAGGATTCAAATTTAGACGTTTTTACTGACGTTTTCAGTGTGGAGTGGGAGAGGGACCGCAGAGAAAGAGGGAGGGGGGGATGGAGGGAGAGAGACCGGGGAGGAAAAATAGCCTCATCCACCACTCCAAAAGTCATTGATTTTTGAAGGGAAACACACCACTAAGAACTGGGGGATGACGATTGATCGGTGTAAGAAAAGGAGAGAGCTGTAACAGACTGTCTTTTTCAGACCAGAACGTGAAGAGGGAGTCTGGAAGGAAGGTCCAGACTGGCAACATCAACGCAGCAAAGGTGAGTCCAGTGTGGACCCCCTGTAGGGTGGACATTTATAGTTCGGAGACATAACTTTAACTTAACAAATAACATGATTGATTTTTGACTCTTTAATACATGCATGCAAACTGTTTTAGAGCCATGGATAAAAGTGTGTGTGTATCTGTTTCAGACTATTGCAGATGTGATCCGGACCTGCCTTGGCCCCCGGGCCATGATGAAGGTAGGGGTCCTCTCACAGGACTTAAGTCACAGTGTTAGGCCGTAGACTGAGGCCCCATTTAGACGGAGACGCAGCACAGACAATGCAAAGTAATAAACAAAAACGACCAGGCTCCTGCATAGCGTTTAGGCAATGCCTGAAAACTATTTAGTTCTAGCCCCCGGCCAGTAGTGAAACTTCACAACACACGTGGCCTCCCCCCCCCCCAGCAGTATATTCACTTCCTCAACAACACCCGTCTCGGGGTACCGTAAAGACATGAAAGAATAACAGCAGCTGTGAAAATAGAAACTAAAGCTTTGCATGGTTTTGTTTGGAAGGACGAATGAGTAGAAATCTCTGTGTAGTGCTCAAAGCACACATAGCTAGTTGGTACCCGCCGCCATTGTTTACGTTTGTTCTCGGCTATTGTGCATGTAGGCCTGTCACGATAACACATTTTGCTGGACGATTAATTGTATCAAATTATTGCGATAAGCAATAATATTGTCGTTCTGAGATCATTTTCATCTAATACAATGATAATGATGCAGATAACTTTTCTAAAGAGAATTAAACTTTTATTTTTAAAGACCACTGCCAGAAGAGGCTGAAGAAGCACTTGATGCTAACTAAGTTAAGCTAGCAGCTATTTGTGTAAATTTCTTCGCCAAGAATGCAGCTCTGCAGCATCTCTTTGTCCAGAGACCTTCCAGAGACTTTAACAGTAGTATGCGTTCATGGAGTTGCGCCATACGTTTATTTTATTTTTAAACTGTACTTCCGCATTGGCGAACACGCTAACGCTAGCTGCGCTAGTTAGTCACTACTAGAGCTAATGAGAACAACTACTGTGTCCCCCATTGTCAATCCTGGTTAAGCTCAGGAGGCTGCTTCTCAACGCTTACCTTCACCCCTCTGAAACACTGTCTCCATGTAAACTCAACATGCAACACCCACCAGTTTAACCATTTCGTCAACAACATTCTCCTCAGGCCACTGCAAAGCTGGGAAAGAATGCACTAACATCATTAATTTTAGTAGACAAAGTAGGGCGACAGTAGCTCAGTTGGTAGAGCACTGGCCTTCAGGCCTGAAGGTCGTGGGTTCATTTCCCACCTCTACACCTTCTCCACCGACTCCCACTGATGACTGCTGTCGTTGTGTCCTTGGGCAAGACACTTAACCCCACTTTGCCCAAACCCCCCACTGAAAGATCAAGGCTATGCTCACACTCAGAGAGCAGCCGTCCTCCTGTGGACTCACCACCTGCAGAGGGTCAGTGAGGGGCTGGTGCTATGAGACTTGGGTGGCATCTCTGATTGCCACCCCCCTGACCCAGAAATGGATTAAAGGGTAGAAAATGAATGAATGACTGAAAGTAGAAGAACTGCTTTTCCGGGTAAGTGCCTTAGCACATAAGGCACAAGTTGATTGTGCCGCCATTAGAGGTGCAACGGTTCATCAATGATCCGTGATCCGTTCGGTTCAACGTCTTCGGTTCGGTACAGACGTGATCCGTGGTTTGATTTATGAAAAAAAAGTTGTGCGCACGTTGTTCAGTCCACACACAGCGTGGTCACGGCGAGCAGAGGAACGGAGATGCTTGAAAGCCCCGCGTCATTTAAATCCCCAGTATGAGAGCATTTTGGCTTCACTGTAACTACACTGATAATTAATATTAGACAAAACTGTCACGATGTGTGAATACTGTGGCACAAGAAAGACATGAGTGAAAAAAAGCGTCTCAACGACCGCTTATTGCCGCGGCATTTAAGCAGCTCCTTTACGCACAGTCAGACCGGGCTAAAGTCAACTCTCCCGCACATCCTCAGCTGCGCTCACGACTGACGCTTGGACGTCCCGCGGAACCTATAATAGATCCATGAGCGGAACGGAGAACTTCATCACAGCAGACTTGGAGATGAGAAGTCCGGTGCTGCAGACACGCCCCCTCTACGACAGTCACACAGCACACAGCGCAGGTTCTGACACAAGCAGCGGAGGAATGGAAGACAAAGGCCCAGTACTAATATCCCAGTCACAACTGATAATGCCAAAAATTAAATGAATGCAGTGAATGAGGCTGGACTGGGCCCAGAATGGACCCCCTCCTCGGGAGAATCAGGAAGGTGGTGTAATATATGAGGGTAAATACACTCATAAAGTGCCTTCTTATGTTGCACTTTGTGTTGTTTTTTCACTGATTATGTTAAAGGTATATAGGAGGATTTTCTACTTCCGGGTGGATCATTAAGACTATTGGTCCTCCCAACTGTCAATCATTCTGGTGACACGTGCTCGTCCAATAAGACCAGAGAGTTTGGTTTGAAAAGTGGAGAGGGCGGTTCTTTCCTAAAACCTGGGAAAATCCTCCTATACACCTTTAAAAAGACACAATTGGATGGATGGAATATGCCTTCCATCCATCCATTTTCTTCCCTTTAATTAATTTCTAGGTCAGGGGGGGGGGCAGTCAGAGCAGGTGCCGAGTCCACATGAGCAGTGTTTATTAAAAAGACAAAACTTTTTTTTGAAAAATGAACCGAACCGTGGCCTCTGAACCGAGGTACGAACCGTGCCGTGATTTTTTTTCAAACCGTTGCACCCCTAGCCGCCATTGTTGTTTATGTTTATTGTACTCCTCATGACCACATTTGCGAGGGGGAGTGGGTGAGGTCGTTGCAACCAGAAAGTTGACACGTTTTTCTTCACAAGGCTGTGATATAGGCCCCCGCCACGCAGGGCAGCCGCTTAAGTCCACTCTAGAGGCTGTTTTTCAAAAATGTCACCCCCTTGAAACGCAAACGCTGTGTGAATGAAAGACCAATCAGTTTGTCTTACTGTGTCTCCGTGTAAACAGGTTCTACGTCTCTGTATGAAGCCGACACCTTTTAACTCATTGACTGCCATTGACGTGTTAACACGTCAAACTAAATAGTAACGTTGTCTGCCAATGACGTGTTAACACGTCAATTGCGTTTCCCGCTATTTTTACGTTCCCAGCTGTCCATTGAATCTAATATGTGGAGATTGGCTTGAGGCAATACTTTATGGAGCCAGCAGATGGCAGCATTGCGCTATGAATGGTTTGAACACAGCTAGATGCACTGTTTGTGGCCCTTTTTTCTCAGCTTTCTGGTGATTTCAATAAAACTTCCCTCTACTCAACTGGGGATTACAGAAGAACTAAACAAGATAGAAACAAAATTCTTTTTGCTGGTGAGAGTAGACAGCCCATTCTTTCAGAATCTAGTTTTAGATTTCAGATAGTCAAAGTACACAATATTCTGTGGGTCTTGAAAAATCAGTAAAAACCACCAGAAACGGCTGGCAATATGGGAGTACCTGTTTTGAAATGGGCTGGCAGTCAATGAGTTAAGGCATATAGACATCTTTGGTCTCAGGAAACCAGACTAAAGCTGTGTTCAGACTGGAACATGCGTTGCGGCGAGTTTCAATGCAAAGTCAATGCATTATCTGCCCATGCAAGGAATTGCACATTTATCCCGCGCAGAGGCGGCTAGATGTATGCAGCGAAAGCAAGAGAACATCCTCGCGCCACACATGTGTGGCAACCAGAGAGCAGCGAAGTGGTCACAGGGACGTATGCCGGTCCAAACAGGAAAATTAAGACACTCTAAAACAACCAAAACATGAGCTAAAACAGGGCCGACAATGGGAGACGCAGTGCTTGTGAACATTTGTCTTCACCTTGAGTTGACATTTTACTGTGACTGTAAACAAGTGCTGCTTGTCTTCTCCGATACGGAAGTACCCACAACTGTCTGAAGTCCTACGCAAGGTAGGACTTCAGATTGACTAAGCTTATGCAGCTGATATTTACTGAAAGTGCATAAATGCCTTCATCTACGCACGTCCATGCATCAGCGGTGTGAACATAGCTGTAGAGGCCAAAACTTGCCCTGTATCAGGTCCGCTGGACGTAGTGTGTTGGTGTCTCATGTGTGTCTCTCACCATTGAAATAGAGCCAAATACTGTGTTCCACAATCATTTATTGTATCCAAGTACACAAATATTACCCTGTAAACTGAGGTGACACGACGGTCGAAATGTTTGCCTTCACATTACAACACCTGTCTGTCATTAGTGCCCCACTTATATAGGGCAACAATAGAGGTGGGGCTACACAGTGGCAGGAGGCAGCAAAGAAAACATGGCAAAATGGCTCCAACAATAGCCTTACACGTGTCTGAAGCCCGAGCCTGGGTTGTGGGACTGGGACCAGACTGGGCTGGGATTTAGATGAGGTGACAGTCTGTTAACATGGATACAGTTTATATTTACCTGCGTCTATTGAAGTGTTTCCTGTGCAGATGCTGCTGGACCCGACCGGAGGCATTGTCATGACCAATGATGGAAACGCCATCTTGAGAGAGGTCTGTCCCTCACTGATTAAGTCACACTAAAACACAGACTGATGTTTTCTCTGGGGTTTTGCCGTTCCAGATCCAAGTGCAGCATCCAGCCGCTAAGTCCATGATTGAGATCAGCAGGACTCAGGACGAGGAGGTGGGGGATGGGACCACCTCAGTTATCATCTTGGGTGAGAAAATGTCCTCCACCTGGTCCTGTGGGTCCTACCCCAAAGCTGGCTCTCTCTCTGGCCGCTCCTCTTGCCGCTCTCTCTCTGGCCGCTCTCTCTGGCCGCTCTCTCTGGCCGCCCTCTCTGGCCGCCCTCTCTGGCCGCCCTCTCTGGCCGCCCTCTCTGGCCGCCCTCTCTGACCGCTCTCTCTGGCCGCTCTCTCTGGCCGCTCTCTCTGGCCGCTCTCTCTGACCGCTCTCTCTGACCGCTCTCTCTGGCCGCTCTCTCTGACCGCCCTCTCTGGCCGCTCTCTCTGGCCGCTCTCTCTGGCCGCTCTCTCTGGCCGCTCTCTCTGGCCGCTCTCTCTGACCGCTCTCTCTGGCCGCCCTCTCTGCTCTTTGGTGTCTCTTTGGGCTTTGTCTGCTCTCTCTCTGTCTGGCCTCTCACGGTCTTCCCTGTGTTTCAGCTGGTGAGATGCTGTCTGTAGCAGAGCAGTTCCTTGAACAGCAGATGCACCCCACAGTGGTTATCGGGGCCTACAGGAGAGCTCTGGACGACATGCTGGAAGTGCTCAAAGAGATCAGGTACAGCAGGAAACACCTGGGCGGATGTTGTGTTCATATTTGTAGAGCAGTATTTCAGCAGAGTCAGGACTGTGGGAAAGAAGCCTCCAAATTATTCTGTCTGAAAGTCTTACTGGCCAACATAATGTTTTTGAACATTGTCCTCACTTGGACAACTTTTTGAGAAACTGAGACCATAGTTGATACTTGCTTACAAAGGAGATTCAGGACTTCGAGACAGTTTCATGTGGATTGTTCTTAATAGTAGTTTCAGCCCAAAAGAGGAGAGTACTTCAAGCTCTAGTCTCTGTAAAACGTCTGTCTCCCTCCAGACTGAGTTGGAGACCTCTGGTCTCTATCGCTAGTCTCTTCTTTCCGCTCTGGTCTCTCCTGTATGTAGTCTCAAACCTCTGTCTCCCTCCAGTGTTCCTGTGGACACCTCTGACCGCTCCATGATGCTGAAGATCATTCACTCGGCCATAAACACCAAAGCCCTGAGCCACTGGTCAGAACTGGCCTGTTCCATTGCTCTGGACGCCGTGAAGACCGTTGAGCTGGAGGAGAATGGACGCAAGGAGATTGACATCAAGAAGTATGCCAAAGTGGAGAAGGTAAGAATCAGGAAGTATTCGTCTAAACCTGGTCTGTGGTTCTGAATGTCCCAACCTCGGTCTCTGGCCCTTGCCCAACCTCTGTCTCTGGTCCTGATGCCGGTCTCTGGTGTCTGTCTCAGGTTCCTGGTGGCTTCATTGAAGACTCATGTGTCCTCAAAGGAGTGATGATCAATAAAGACGTGACTCACGCTCGGATGAGGAGGACCATCAAGAACCCGCGCATCGTCCTGCTGGACTGTTCCCTGGAGTACAAGAAAGGCGAGAGCCAGGTGAGGAGGAGGTTTGCTCACAACATTGACTGAACAGGTCTTCAGCATGTTTTGTGTGAATGACCTGATGCTGCTCTTCAGACCGACATTGAGATGTCGAAGGAGGAAGACTTTGCTCGTATTCTTCAGATGGAGGAAGAGTTCATCCAACAGATCTGTGAAGATGTCATCCGACTGAAGCCCGACCTAGTGTTCACTGAGAAGGGCGTCTCTGGTAAGACTGGGAAGTCTGGGACTGGGTGGTCCTCTTGGGATGACCCTCTCGGGATGACCTCCTCTGCTCTGTTTCAGACCTGGCTCAACATTATCTGATGAAGGCAAACATAACTGCGATCCGGCGCGTGAGGAAGACTGACAATAACCGCATCGCCAGGTCAGAGGTCGTGTGTGTGTACTTGTCTGTGTGTGTGACGTGTACTTGTGTGTACTTGTGTGACGTGTACTTGCGTGTGTGTGTGTGTGACGTGTACTTGCGTGTGTGACGTGTATTTGTGTGTGTGTGCAGGGCGTGTGGAGCGCGCATTGCCAGTCGCACAGATGAACTGCGCGAGGAGGATGTGGGACTCGGCGCAGGATTGTTCGAGGTGAAGAAGATCGGAGACGAATACTTCACCTTCATCACGGAGTGCAAGGATCCTAAAGCCTGCACCATCCTCCTGAGAGGTGCCAGCAAGGAAATCTTGGCAGTGAGTCACATGGTCTAACCTGCTGTCTCTCTCTCTCTCCCTCTCTCTGCCGCTGGTCATTCTCTGCTTCTGGTCTCTCCATGGTCCCGGCCTCACCTGGTCTCTGCTCTCTCCTCAGGAAGTGGAGCGTAACCTGCAGGATGCCATGCAGGTGTGCCGTAACGTGGTCCTGGAGCCCGCCCTGGTACCAGGTGGGGGTGCTGTGGAGATGGCGGTGTCAAAGCGTTTGGCCGAACAATCGCGGGCGCTAAAGGGAGTGGAGCAATGGCCGTACCGTGCTGTAGGGTCTGCCCTCGAGGTCATCCCTCGCACACTGATCCAGAACTGCGGTGCATCGACCATTAGAGTCCTGACCTCATTGCGGGTAAGAAACCTTCATCACCAGTGTGGGAGAAGTTGGTTTCAAAAAGAAACTTCTTTTAAAAATTAACCTGTTACTTTACTTAGTTTCTCTCCTAAAGAAAGTAACTTATTTAGTTACTTTTACGTTTCTTATGGGCTCTGAGCAGAACTGTTCTTAAATGTATTGTGGAATAACAGATATTTCTTTCATGCTCCTTAAATATCAAAAATGTCAGCATGGCTTTCACTCGGGAATCTGTTTAGGACCTGAGCCAGATCTCATAAACTCAAGTACCTTGGCATCTGCTGTGAGCGGCAAGTTGTGTGTGTTTATTCTCAGCTGGCTCTTCCCCATGGGGCTAAAGTGCCACACTCCACAATAAGCAGCTCCACCGCTAGTGGCCTCTTGCTTCACATACCATGTGGACTAAACTGGGCGTGAGTTGTGACTGATGCGCAAGCACCATCAGTTGGGTGTCACAACTGCCTATGGTAAATAAAAAGTAATGTTGCTGTGGATAAAAAAAATAAACTGCTGTATGTTACTTAATTGTCGATAGTTAACGCGTTACTTAGTGTAACGCAGGGGTGTCAAACTCATTTTGGTCTGGGGGCCAAATACAACCTAATTGGATCTCAACTAGAGTTTCGTTCGGGCCTGAAAATTCAAACCCGGCCAGAGCCCGCTAATGTTAAGCCCGACCAATGAACGCTGTATAACAGGCCCGAGCCCGACAGAACCCGACACATCTGATTTCCTTGCTGTACGCACTCATCTTCCAATTGCAAGTTTAGTCTCCACTTTTGAATTTGTTTTGTCTCCACTTGATCCATTTCTACTATTGTTCCTGTTCGCTGTTGACCACAGCATGCAGCAGGAGACACCGAGCGTTCACTGCTCGTTGTAAATCAACGGACATTGTTAATTTTATTTATATATATATATAATTTTTTTTTTTTTAAAGAAGCCCGGCACAAAATCAACAGCTGAGCGCCGAAATGAGGCCCAAGCCCGGCAAGAACTCAGGTCGGGCCTGCTCGGGCTGAAAAACGAAACTCTAATCTCAACTGGGCCGGACCAGAAGATTCTCTACAACAATACAGTTTTAACTGTAAATCTGTTATAACTTATGTCCCATGCGTTACTGAGCACAAGCCATTCATTTGAACAGGGCGCCTTCTTGGATCGCCGGGGCTTGGCACAAGCAGACTGCTGTTCATGTTTATCTTGTCTGCTCAATTCTCTGCTCAAATTGCCGTATTTTTAGCCAAGTCTCGTAGTTTAACATGTTATTCCTTCAGCCACTTTTACACACCAAGCACCGGTTTTTCATTCACCTCCGCCAACAAATAAGAATTAGTCCACTTTTTTTTTTACTTTGTTTTTTGAAAAACCCGACACGCCATGTCCACTTTTTGCCTTTTTGACAGACATTTTGCTGAGGGTGTCGGTCATAGAACACACTCTGGTGGGAGCCACTACAGACTCACTCAACTCGCTGCTCTGCTCAGCGTTACGTGGCGTCACAAGGCCTCGCGTTGCGAAGCGGATTTTTAAATTATTATAATTTTACATATATCAGCAGCAGGCTGTGTCAAATCTCTCGGCGGGCCGCATGAATGACACCCCTGGTGTAACTTGTTTCTTTGTATGGCGTTACACCCAACACTGTCCTTCACACAGCACGATGCTTTTTATAAACCAGTTTTCAGTTTACTGGTTGCACTGTGGGAGACATGCAGAAGTGTAGACTGTAAGACATGTAGACTGTGAGGGCGGACATGTAGACTAACATATAAACTATGTGCAGGCCAAGCACGCTGCAGACGGGGGGCGCTCTTGGGGAGTGAACGGAGAAACTGGAACTATCTGCGACATGACCAGTTTGGGGATCTGGGAACCACTGGCCGTGAAGAACCAGACCTACAAGACTGCAATGGAGGTGAGCGCTTCATCGTCACTATGGTCAGGACCAATGTGTAGCCTGAGACGTGGAGGTCATTTGGGACATCGCCCTTAACCCTCTATGCACGTGGGTCATTTTGGGGAACATTCCTCGCCTGGTTTTCTTTGTGTATAATTGTTCATAAAACAGTCATCTTTTGATGCAGAGTCAAGCAGTATACTTTGTTTTTTTCAGTACAACCTGGGGTTTTAGAATATTCATATTGTAAAGCTGTCATATGAATTATATAAAACTTATGGAGTCATGAAGATAAATTGATTTTCCGTTAGATTTTTTTCTTTAACAAAAATGTATTGAAAAAACACAATGAAATGCTATAAACAACTTTTTACACTGCATAGAAATGTTATTTAGAGACTTGGGGATAATGGGGAAAAAAATTGAATCTCTAACTATTATACTTTTTACAAAATTCCACTATAAAAGCAAAAAACTCTGTACTCCTGATGCCCTTCCTGAAGCAGTTTGTCTATAATGCTGGGGTTGCTTCTGTAGTACAGCTGTAAAAAAACGTAAAACATAAGAAACTGAGCCAAAAAAAACACCAATTATTTATATAATACATATATTTATATACATCATATACACATGTCATTTTACTGTATTTATTATCGTCTTTATCAATAATGCGCACTCTTCAGCCGGTTATTGCAATCGCAGCTGTAGTTTCAACTGTGGGACAACAAGTAAACGCAGAGGAGTGAGAGATCGCACTCTCTGACGATCTTTGGCAGTCCCCGTGTGTTTGTATCTCACAGCTGTTTGTACCTCACGGGTCACGCTTTGGACACGGACTTTCAGACAAACGTAGTTTATCCTCCGTGCATCGCACAGACAAATCAAAACTAGTTTTGGAAAGCCTTGAATACGTACTTCACAGAGGGAAAAAAAGTAAGTTTCGCGAGTAACTTGATCATTTGTAAAACATGTGCGCATGCATCGGCGCCGATGCAGACGGGTTCATAGGGTTAAACCATGACTCAAGCTGATACAGTACTAATAAGTCAATGGAAACTGCAGTTTATATCAGACAACTGTTGTGATTTAGGGCCATTCAAAAATAAATTGACCTTACAGATGTTCAGACCTAGAGCTGTCTGAGGTACTGCAGGTGTTCAGCTGTGTTCTTATTCACATGCTCTGAAGTCCTATAGCAAAGTACATTTATAACAAAGTTTGATTTTTACTGTGTTTCAGACGGCTATTCTACTGCTGAGGATCGACGACATTGTCTCTGGACATAAGAAGAAAGACAAGGATGAGGCAGGGGGTCAGGGGGCGGAGTGAGCTGCAAGAGTGGTTGGGGCCAAGAGGCAGGGTATGGGCCACACAGGACAGTACTAGGCTTTCGTTATTCTGACATGTGTCCTTGGGGCCTTACGTATAAAAATGAACAAACGTTTGTTAAATTATTCAGATTCAGCTTTTTCATTTTTGTCCTCAGTACCATGAGATGGGGCACTGTGTGGTAGTGTGGTCTGTTTGAGGCAGGGGGCGCTGTGCTCTTTGTGGATTCAATAAAAGTCTTTCACTCTGTGCTGAATCTTTCATCTAATTATAACATGGTGTTAGGGCTGAAAACCATTAAGCTCATTGGAACTGTTGTGTTTTCTTAATCAAACGAATGTGTCTTCCTGAATCACTCCAGCAGTTGACTCTGAGGACTTCAAAGTTCAAGGGAAAAAAAGACATTTGTTTGCCAACAACAGATCAGAAAATTCCCACAGTTCGAACACAGGAAATGCAGTAGTAGGTACCATTGGTCCATAGAGGGCAGGATGACCACTGGCCAAAAACGAAACCTCATCAGGACGAGAGGCTAATTGATGCAGATCTACACCCATGGGCTGTAGACCGAGGCTGTGTTGAAGAATTAACTTGTTGCTACATGGCTGCAACGCTCGTTTGTTGTAGAGAAAGACCACATCAATCATCAAGGTGCGATCCAGACCACAGTTTGCGACGTGTGTGGGTCAGGTCTGTAGATCTCTAAAACCAAATTCAAAACACAAGTACAAAGCTGAAACATGAACAAACCGTTTCAGGACTGACTAATTAACTGTACATACGTTAACACAGAGCAATGAAGGGACAACTCCAGCTCTGAGTCTCTGCTCAATCACAAAGTACATACCTTGTGGCATGAGTAATGTTTGTCCAAAGTCTCGAAATGTGAAAGACTCACAGTGGCAGGTGCGATAACCACATGTTAATCTCATTGACAATCTCACTTTCCAGTATTTGAAAAATATGAATACATGATGTGAAAACTACACAATTTTCAAATAGAAACAACTGCTTTAGGACCAGTAACCTCCATCCATCCATCTTCATCCCCTTAATCCATTTCTGGGTCAGGGGGGCGGCAGTCAGAGCTGCACCAAATTCACATAGCACCAGCCCCTCACTGATCCTCTGCAGGTGGTGACTCCCCATGAGGATGGCTGCTCTGTCAGTGACCATACAGCCTTGATTTTTCAGCTGGAGCTTCAGGCAATGTGGGGTTGAGTGTCTTGCCTAAGGACACAACGACAGCAGTCGGTGGAGAAGGTTCCGAGATGGGCTTGAACCCACAACCTTCTGGCTCAAAGGCCAATGCTCTACCAACTGAGAGACTGTCACCCCTAGGACCAGAGACAGATTATTACACTGTTGGTGTGGTCTGGAAGTGACGCGTTGATGTCTGATTAGATTAATTCGACTTGACCATTACAAAACACTGATGGGGCTTTCAGACCGCCAACGCTGAAACGCTGCAGCCCCGCTCACCAGACGCGCATTCTCTAGTAGTTCAGACGGAGAGGACTTCACACCAGAACATCCTGACGCGAGCCGGAAGTACCGGAAGTAGCCGGCTCTGATGCTAACAGCTATGCTAGCGGCTTCTTGTGTACAAATCTTCTCCAATATGCAGCTTTGCAGCGTGTCTTTTCTCACAGACATTCCACGGGCTTTATATAACAGTAGTATGTGTTCACGGAGGTGCGCTATACGTGTTTTTATATTATTAAACGGAATTTCCGCATCAGCGAACACACTCGAAGCAGTTGCATAAGGTCAGGGAGCATGACAACGCATATTTTCACAAGCACAGAGTCCCCCATTGTCAACCCTGGTTTGAGTTCTGGTGAAGTCTGGTTTGGGTCCTGTTTTGGCTGTTTATGAGTATTTTCAGTCTGCTCGCTCAGTCCGCTAATGTCCCCGTGACCACTTTGCTGCTCTCTGATTGGTTGTCGCACGAACGTCCAAGGAAAGGATGAGCAGAATCCATCTCCTGTGGGCGTTGATTTTTCGCTCCTGCTCCTCCCTTTTTACTTTCCCGCCAAGTCTGTGCGTCATTATTGAACAGTCCGTTCGTGCGTGCCGAGAGGTCCGTGCGTTGTGACGGTCCATAGACTTTGCATTGAAACCCGACGCAACGCATGATCCGGTCTGAAGCACCATCATCAGCTGACTGAGTCTGTGACGTCAGGGCCATATGACTAGCTCATGTGATTTGTGTCCGGTCACGTGACTGTTGTTGTGAAAACCTGATGTTGGAACAGGCCTTGCTCCTGATGTGACCAGGGTCCAGGACACGCCCTGAAGTAAGGGCTCAGGCTCAGGAGGTTTGGGGTTATATTTTTGTAACTTTTTTAAGATGACTCAGAGCTGTGCAAGCGTGTTACTGCTGTGCGTTCTCACGCCGTGCGTCATGACGCTGTCCCAAACCGAACCGGGTACGGATCATCGGAACGTGAGTATGAACCTGGATCTGTTACTAATGTTTGTGTCCAGTCCTGCTTCATACCTGGTCCCCTGCTTCCTGGTCCAATCTTTCCCAAAGCTCTAGTGAAAGTAATCTCTCTACTTTAGTCCAATTTAATGATATAGAACGGATGTAAACCCATGCTGTGATTGGGGAGTGAAATCCAGTCCGTTCCCCTATCACACTTCTGAAGAGAATGAAACAATATCTTCACTTTGAACATTGTAAAGCGCTATGGGTGATCTTGGTCTGTAAACATTTGCTTTAAAGATTACTTACTACTGCGCAGCTTATGCTACATGTAACCAAGGAAACTGGATTCTACTGACTCTGAGACTCAGCCAGCAGCTGCAGATGCTTTCAGAGTATCTGCAGCAGCTGGAAACCTTATGTGTCCGGGCAGTGTTGGGCAAGTTTCTTCATAGCAGTAATACATTAAAGGGGACATATCATGAAAAATCCACTTTTTGTGTCTTAAATGCCTTATGTTGTGTAGTTGGAGCCTCTAGAAGTGCAAAAAAGTTGAAATCAGTCTCTTCATGGGTTGCAGAGAACACTTCATATTCTGTTTAGGTAAGATTTTTCAACCCGTTCGGATTTTGCCATTCTCTATTACGTGTTTAGAATTATTACGTCACAGTATTTGCAGCGAGACTGCTATATAAGGGCATGGGCGTCTAACAAAACACTTCAGCCCAGCCCTCCTCTACTGTGCATCACTTAATTTGTAGTCCAAGCTCAAGGATGCCAGCAAACAGGGCTGGACTGGCCACCGGGCGTACCGGGCAATGCCCAAAGGGCCGATGCCCATATTTGGGCCGGTCTCTCTGCCTCATACAAAACACATGTTTATGAGAAGTGTAAATCCGTTGAGAATTGTTCGAGCGGGGCGCGCGTATCAGCGGGGCACCTGCTGTATGTACTCGAACGGGATTCCGCCACCTCAGCGGCCACAGTGTTCCGGGGCATCTGCGGCCGCTTTGTAATGAGCAGCTTCCGCGTCCAGCGGCTGCGAGAGGCTGTGAGCGTCCAGCCGCTCCACCGTGTTGTGGCTGAGCGCGCGTGGCCATGTACCCAACCCCATAAACGCGCACAGGACCATGCGTGTCTTTGAGTAATCTGTGCACCCAATAAATACACTGCTGCAGGAAACAGTCCGCGTCTCCCCCTCCTCTCGAAGCGCGATTAAACGCCCTAAATAAAGCTCTGATACCTACATTTTGCATTGCATTAAAAGTTCATGTTTGAGCCCAAAAGTAATATGTTGTGAACAAATTAAACTGACTTAGAGCCAGCAAATGGCTGACAATATGCATTTCAGTCTTTTTTGACCAATTCTCATCGCTGTAACAAACAATAGTGTTGTCTGTGTCCACCTCCCTCACTCTGAGACATGTTTATTACTCTCTTGTAATACAGACTATTACATTTTATTTTATTGTTGAAACTGCACATATCCTGATCCTCTACAGTATTTGCTTCCACATACTGTATAAACTAGGAGTCGGCAACCTGCGGCTCCGGAGGCGCATGCGTCTTTTCCTTCTGTAGAAGGAAAAACGTTCTTAACGTTTTTAAATGCTGTAAAATTGTGCATAAGTAATATTCAATTTAAAAAAATTCTGTCAACGTAGTGTCTGTCCTGCGACCGGCGTGTTGTAAAAACGGCGTGTGAGCATCATAGACTGTGCGCATGATCCCAAAGCTAAAAAGAGAAGAGTCGATAATAAGACTGGACTAAGAATGAAAATTAACATTTGCTTTCAGTCAATGAGGAAGGCTGCTTCATGTTTGCGATGTAATGAGAAGTTTCTATGAGATAATTGTATCTGTGCTTAGAAACTACAAAAATGGCCGCTCGGGGTGGAGTTGAACCTGTGTCACCTGGATGGGGGGGGGGGGGGGGTGGTCAAAAGCGCCTCATTTGCATTTAAAGAGACAGCACCAAAACAGGTTGCTCTCAGACGCACCTCAGAACAGGTGTAGAGAAAGGAAAGGCCCGTGGAGCTACAAATAATGAGACTCAGACCCAGGCATTGCAGTTACGCTTTATATAGGCCACAAATGAATGATTTAGATGTAAAAATCAATTATTTGAAAACACAATATGTCCACTTTAAGCGTTACTTATTACTGTTTTTTCAAAGTAATGTATTACACAACATTATTACTGTCTCCAAATTGTAAAGCATTACAGCATTAAAGCATGTAAAGCACTTTTACCAAATTTATATACATATACATTTTTTAAATTTTATTAAATATATGTAGCTCAGGCTCAGTGATAATAACATATTGCAAGGAACAGTCATAGCCAAAATGTTGTTGAAACCGACTAAAGATCAAAATTGCAAAAGGGAAACGGTAACCAAATTATAAACCAATGACATGGCAAGAAGGAATATTGCAAAACATGCATTATTCCTTCAACTTAACTTTACGTAACAAAGATGTCATGAATTAATGCACAGCACCTTCACAAAAAACTACTACTACTACTAAACTAGAAAAATAACACAGGCCAAACAAAGGAGCCTTACTATTTGTAAATGGCTAAAACATAGGCTTCCATATAATGGCAAAAAGTGCTTAGGTCTCTTTGGACTCATACAGCTCAGATAAGATAAGATAGGTCCTGTTGAGGCAATGACAGCTCACCTTGTCATTGCTACTCCGGACGAGGAGCTTGCTGATGAGCTTTCTGAAAGCGGCAGACTCGACTGTTGCCAGCAGCTGCATGTCTTCTACCACATACTCTGCCGCAAGTCTCCATACTTCTTGAAGTGCGAGTACCATCACGGAACGGGATAATGATAGTTTTTGCTGCTTTTTGGTGTTTCCTATTGCGTCCTCAACTTGCTTTTGTTTTAGTAACTTAATATTCTAAATGCTTTGTCAAATTGCTTGTGATATTTCACTTTATTTTCACTGTTATATTCCGCACATCTTTGTCTCCAACAAACTCAAAATAATGAGAGTATAGTCATCTTGAAAATGTACTAGCGTCCGAGTCTGACGCAGTACCTGCTTTGGCTTCAGCTTCTGCCATTGTTTACCTGAATGAAACAACACTTCTCGGCGGAAACTATGCTGTGGAGACTCTGCTGTCTTGTGGTGAAAAAAAAAAAAAGATTTTATTTTGCGGCAAAATGCAATGTAATGAACGTTAGCGACTTATGTACCGAGTAAAATATTACCTTTTTGTTGTTGTAATGCCTTGATTACTGAATTACAGCAAAAAATAATACATTATAGTAATTACATTGCTTTTGCAATACAGTACTTCCAAAACTGGTTGCAGGACACATACATACGCGGGAGTGGACTGTCACCTCCCTGCATGGACCATCAACTACCTCTCGGACCAACCACAGAACATGCGGCTGCACAGCTCTGAGTCTGAGGTGGTAGTCTACAGTACCCTTGGGGCCCCTCAGGGCACAGTCCTCTCACAGTTTCTCTTCACCATCTACACTTTGAGCTTCACATTCAACACACACAGCTGCCACGATGGCGGAGTTTTCCAATGACTCCGCCATCGAGGGCTGTGTGTCTGAGAGGACCAAACTACGGCAAATGCAACCACTTGTGCTTGAACACCAGTAATACCAAAGAGATGGGAATCGACTTCAGGAGAAAACCACTATTCCCCACGCCGCTTAACTTCCAAGGGGAGGACATTGAGTGAGCAGGCCTCTGCTCAGGACTTTTCCTGACTCTGTGGTAGCCTCTGCCATACACTACGCTGCAGTGTGCTGGGCCCCGGGCAGCACAGAGCAGGACAGGAATAGTGTGAAGAAGCTGGTCAGAAGGCCCAGCGCCGCTCTGGGCTGCTCCCTGGACTCTGTGGAGGAGGTGAGGATTAGGAGAGAGTGAGATCGATTAAGTTTATCTTACCATATCTTATCTTATGTATTTGGAGCGTATAGTCCACGCTAGTGATGGGATGATGATGCCTCAGGGAGTGTATTAACACTTTATACACACTTGTATTGACACTGTATTGACCCTGTGTTGATCACTCAATGGTAACCTCTGCTGTAGATATAAAATCATGGCATGTAAACAATATGATGAAAAAACTCAGATGCTGTAAACTCAAACCAAATGAGTTGGCATGTAAAATATTGAAAATGTGGGTTAAAAAAAAGTTATGTATGGGATTCTGTGCTCAATCATATGAAATAACACACTAGAATGCATTCATTTGTTATTGAGAAACAATCATTTTGAAGAGTCTTTGCTCCATGGCGATTTCTCCTCTTGGACATTAGTTCCTCAGCCTTAGAAAACACTTGTTCGATAGAGGTATAACAGCCAATTCTTTAACGAGCCCGTAGCATGTTGACACAGTAGCATGTTGACACAGTTTGCTTCATTATAAACACAATTTGGCGCATTATATCCAAACGACACAGTTCCTGTATTGGTCATGTGATTGTTAAAGCGATACACACATAGATACGGTGTTTCACACTTTAGCACTCGGCACAGTGCTGACACACCAGTATCGTTTGTCCCATCCGTAGTCCATGCCCTCATTTTGATCATGGGATGAAGCTCACAATCTCTCTGAACGGGTTTCATGTCTTGTTTTGGTCTCTGGGCTCTCTCTGGGCTCTCTCTCTTGTCTCTCTCTGGTCTCACACTCTTATGTGTGAGTGTGAGTGCTTAGGTGCCTTTGAAAGCAGCTCAAGGCTCTGGCATGGATTTATAATAATAACTGGATAGGGTATTACAAGCTTAAAGCTGTCGCACCCATGGGCACAGGGGCACCCGTGGTACTGCAAACTAAATTCACGTGGGCTACCCAGAAAACAGCTTGACCTCAGCTGACAGAGAACCTACAGCTTTCAGAAATATCGGATTTTGTGGGGATTTTTGTGTCCCTTGTCATCCTGAACTTTTTATCTTCTTAAATCCTTCGGTTTTCTTTAAATCCACACTTTACTGCTACAAACTCTGCTTGTTTTCTTCCTTCTCTGACTCCGCTCTACCGCTGCTCTGATCAGCAGCTCTGATTGGTCAAAGCGCAGCCGAGCCCCTCTGTGCACACGCATGAGAGCCACACACGTGTATTTGGCGCAACGCATCATGGGAGCTCGTCCATTGCGCAGAACCGGGAGAACCAGACGATGCCCAAATATAGGCGAGTTCTGCTAATCTCCCGGTCTCCGTGAAGTCTTTGCGCTACTGAGCACAAGCCATTCATTTGAATAGGGCGTCATCTTGGATCACCGGGGCTTGGGCTCTGCTCAGTTCATAGACATTTTTCCCAGGGGGAGACATGTAGGCGTTGACCCTTGATTCTGCTAAGAACTTCCATTTGCGGACTTCCAATTAGCTCTTAGTGCGGCTAACACAACTCTAGGTCAGACCTAAGAGAGTATTGTCAAGGATCATACCACGTTGTCAAAATTTAAAATGGATGCAGCCAAACGCAAGCAGGGACATTCTCTGCGGTTCGTGGTCTCTGTGCGGTCTTGACCAGCTACAAGACGCAGGTGTGGATGTTCTCTATTGTATGAGAAGCTAACGGCTAACTACGTTTCCAGGATGCAGCTAGCAGCTTTGAAAATGAAGAAGCCGCCTTAAAAAGTGTATGTTTGCTCTTATCACTTTGTTGATAAAAAGCCTACTCGGGAAAATCCTTTCCCGGAACTTTAGTTGGGGTACGATCGTCCTCCCCAGCACAAACGACGTAAACTGGAGAGGAACCCTGGCTTTCATAGTGGCACACAGTAGGGTTCTCTTTTTATGTTTAAACGGTTAGCTAAGTGTAAAAACTTCCTGCGATTATTCTTTTGTTGTGCATGTCTTGTACAGTGCCTTGCGAAAGTATTTGGCTCCCCTTGAACCTTTCAACATTTGGCCACATTTCAGGCTTCAAACAAAGATATAAAAATTAATTTTTTTGTCAAGAATCAACACAATTGTGAAGTGGAACAAAATTTATTGGATAATTTAAACTTTTTTAACAAATAAAAAACTGAAAAGTGGGGCATGCAATATTATTCGGCCCCCTTGTGCTAATACTTTGTAGTGCCACCTTTTGCTGCAATTACAGCTGCAAGTCGCTTGGGGTATGTCTCTATCAGTTTTGCACATCGAGAGACTGGAATTCTTTCCCATTCTTCCTTGCAAAACAGCTGGAGCTCAGTGAGGTTGGATGAAGAGCGTTTGTGAACAGCAGTCTTCAGCTCTTTCCACAGATTCTCGATTGGATTCAGGGCTGGACTTTGACTTGGCCATTCTAACACCTGGATACGTCTATTTGTGAACCATTCCATTGTAGATTTGGCTTTATGTTTTGGATCATTGTCCTGTTGGAAGATAAATCTCCGTCCCAGTCTCAAGTATTTTGCAGACTCCAACAGGTTTTCTTCCAGAATGGTCCTGTATTTGGCTCCATCCATCTTCCCATCAATTTTAGCCATCTTCCCTGTCCCTGCTGAAGAAAAGCAGGCCCAAAGCATGATGCTGCCACCACCATGTTTGACAGTGGGGATGGTGTGTTCAGGGTGATGAGCTGTGTTGCTTTTACGCCAAACATATCGTTTTGCATTGTGGCCAAAAAGTTCGATTTTGGTTTCATCTGACCAGAGCACCTTCTTCCACATGTTTGGTGTGTCTCCCAGGTGGCTTGTGGCAAACTTTAAACAAGACTTTTTATGGATATCTTTGAGAAATGGCTTTCTTCTTGCCACTCTTCCATAAAGGCCAGATTTGTGCAGGGCACGACTGATTGTTGTCCTATGGACAGACTCTCCCAGCTCAGCTGTAGTTATCTGCAGTTCATCCAGAGTGATCATGGGCCTCTTGGCTGCATCTCTGATCAGTCTTCTCCTTGTTTGAGATTAAAGTTTGGAGGGACGGCCGGGTCTTGGTAGATTTGCAGTGGTCTGATACTCCTTCCATTTCAATATAATTGCTTGCACAGTGCTCCTTGAGATGTTTAAAGCTTGGGAAATCTTTTTGTATCCAAATCCGGCTTTAAACTTCTCCACAACAGTATCTCGGACCTGCCTGGTGTGTTCCTTTGTCTTCATGGTTCTCTCTGCGCTTTAAACAGAACCCTGAGACTATCAAAGAGCAGGTGCATTTATACGGAGACTTGATTACACACAGGTGCATTCTATTTATCATCATCAGTCATTTCGGACAACATTGGATCATTCAAAGATCCTCACTGAACTTCTGGAGTGAGTTTGCTGCACTGAAAGTAAAGGGGCCGAATAATATTGCACGCCCCACTTTTCAGTTTTTTATTTGTTAAAGTTTAAATTATCCAATAAATTTTGTTCCACTTCACGATTGTGTCCCACTTGCTGTTGATTCATGACAAAAAATTAAAATTGTATATCTTTATGTTTGAAGCCTGAAATGTGGCGAAATGTTGAAAGGTTCAAGGGGGCCAAATACTTTCGCAAGGCACTGTACATTTTATATATCCTGTTGTGGCATGTGTGAAGGGGGGGTGAAGAAGAGTACAGGGCGGTAGTGGCTGTCTTTTCAGACTGGAGTGAGAAAAATGCGTCCAAGACCAAGGAGATGATCATTGACTTTCACAAGAACCCTTTCCATCAACCGGTCACACTAAATGCACAGAACATTGAAGTGGTACAGTCATTTACAAATACCTAAAAATCCACCTGGACCACAGACTGGACTGGTCCGCTCAGGCCAATGCTGTTGATAAGAAAGGTCAGGGCAGACTCTTCTTCCTGAGAAGACTGAGGTCCTTTGATGTGAGCAGTCAGATGTTGCACATATTTTACCAGTTTGTTGTAGCTAGTGCCGTGTTCTTTTGGGTTGCGTGTTGGGGCGGCAGTCTGACCTTGAGAGACAGTAACCGGCTCGACAGGCTAATCAGGAAATGTGTCTCTGTGATGGGGAGAAGTGTGGACTCTGTGGGAGCTGTGCTGGAGAGAAGGATGAGGGCTCTAATGCAAGGCATCCTGGGTAACTCCAGACACCCTCTGCATGACACTCAGAGGAGTAATCGTAGCAACAGGCTTATATCACTGTGCTGCCGAACGTTTTAAGAAATCCTTTGTTGTCAGACTGTACAATAAACCTGGATGAGTGTTCTGCTGCTGGACACCTGAATTTATCCTACGTGGGATCAATAAAGTATCTATCTATTCTTAGTTCCCTATTTTCGAGTGCCCGTCCTCACACACAGCTTATATACTATATATTTCCAGAAAAAATAAAAACACAATGTTTATAATTGCAAATCTCTTAATCTTAATAACATTATATCTTATGTTCAGTAGCAATAAAGTGGAAAACCTTTTTATTTAACAGTAATGACACAAGTCAATGAGTAAAGCAATAGCAGGTCATGGTAAATTTATAATAGCATGGATATCTGGAGCACAACTCCAGCCTTCTCTCAACTTTTGGCAGCATGTATGGGAAGTAGAAGGAACGTAGCCTTTTGATATGTCCTTCAACAAAACTGTGGTTGTAGGGGATGTCTAAGCGCACATATCTATTCTTAGTCCAAACCTCCAACAAGGCTATATGAAGCCCTGTGCATTGCATGCACCTGTATATAAAAGCCCTTTGGGGCGTTGTATGACAAAAATAATTCTCCATTGGGCAGAGTTTTTATGTTGCTGCTTTTTTGATTCTGTCTACCTCCTACAATTATGGACTTCGAGTATTAAGCACTTGAAGAGTGACCAGTTAAAAAGAAACCAGAAATAAAAAGCTATAATAAACTGTTAAGTTTAGGCAGTTTTGAAAAGGTGGATTTTTTGCAGCGATTTGAATGTTTCTGAGTCCGAGTTCCTGATGGAGAGTTCAAGAGAGTTCAGAAGGCTCAGTCCCCAGTCAAAAGAAGCCAGAGAGACTTGGCATAATACTTTGTTCATGAGTACTTCCTTATGGGCAGCCATCGCCATAAAAAAGAAAAATAATTAGATGGTGGAATAACTTAATGCAGAGACATAGGTTCAGTTTGGTATCCCACATGCCTGTGAGCAGAGAGCCATTTATTTGTAATTGCACACCCGGTGTGTAGCCACGCCCACACCCAAAAGTAGGTCACTGGCTCAATTGAGGATTTACATTCCACACTTCCTTATATGGCTTCATTGATCTTGCGGGTGAGCATTGTCTATTTGTATACAGTCTGTGGTTAATTAGTGTGCTTTCTGCTCAGGTCATCACAACCCTGAACCCCGGAGGGCCCCCGCTGCCCCCTGGTGGGGACCTGCTATACATGCGCTCTGTGGGACGCAACGACTCGCTGCACTTCCTGTTCTGCAGCCAGGGGGCGCCATCACTATTGCTGGTCCACAGCAGCAATCCTGATGCCATGCTGAAGGTGAGAGACCCCCTCAAACAGGAGAGAGACCCAATAGAGTAGCATACATGTCCCTGTGCTCTCAGGTGGACTGGCTGCATTTCCTGCAGCGTAACTCCAGCAGCAACCTGAGGGTGGAGCCAGAGAGCAGCGTGGTGCACAGCATAGCCCTGGTCTTCAGCCGCGTGAGTCACAGCAGTCCACAGTCCGGTCCGGGGTCTGGAATCCAGACCAGGGTCCTTGCTTTCTGGTCTCTCCCTGGTCTCAGTAGTTTTCTCTTTGTGCAGTTGTGGGAGTACCAGGACCTGAACGACACGGCTGACCCCAGATCTGACCCTGGGTCAGTGTTTCCCCCAGATGAGTTGCAGGACGTGGATTGGAGCCGTGTCCGTTTGAGCACGCTCAGTGCAGAGTTGTGCGGAGCCATAAGGATGCGCAATGGGAGCATCTGTGTGCAGGTAATAGGCCAGCAGGAGGTGCAGTGCTCTGTATGAGGCCAGCAGGAGGTGCAGTGCTCTGTATGAGGCCAGCAGGAGGTGCAGTGCTTTGTATGAGGCCAGCAGGAGGTGCAGTGCTTTGTATGAGGCCAGCAGGAGGTGCAGTGCTCTGTATGAGGCCAGCAGGAGGTGCAGTGCTCTGTATGAGGCCAGCAGGAGGTGCAGTGCTCTGTATGAGGCCAGCAGGAGGTGCAGTGCTCTGTATGAGGCCAGCAGGAGGTGCAGTGCTTTGTATGAGGCCAGCAGGAGGTGCAGTGCTTTGTATGAGGCAAGCAGGAGGTGCAGTGCTTTGTATGAGGCCAGCAGGAGGTGCAGTGCTTTGTATGAGGCCAGTAGGAGGTGCGAAGCAGGTGATCCGGAAGGAGATGCTGATTTAATATTAAAGAGTTTTTAGTCAATTATTGTATCAATATAAACATGAATCTTTTAGGAAAACATCATAATAATAATTAAAGCCGCAAGCGGCGTCGAACGGCCCTCGCCACATCGCACGACTCCCCCCACCGCGCCACTCCCTGCACCACGGCACTTCCCAATGCGCGCGACTTCCCGATGCGCGCGACTTCCCGATGCGCGCAACTCCCCGCAGGGCGCGACTCCCCGCAGGGCGCGACTCCCCGCAGGGCGCGACTCCCCGCAGGGCGCGACTCCCCGCAGGGCGCGACTCCCCGCAGAGCGCGACTCCCCGCAGCGCGCGACTCCCCGCAGAGCGCGACTCCCCGCAGAGTGTGACTCCCCGCACCGTGGGGGTCGCCAAATCGAGGCTCCGCATGCGTGAGCCGCCGGGTACAAATCAGACTTTATACATGTGCTCCTGTTTACACATACAATCTGTGAGTGTGTCCATATATATACAGTCTCCATTGGATGACCATGTGACGCACCATCTTCCTAAAGCCCTGATGGGAGCGACACTGTGTATTTTGAATGTCTATGATTAATGATTGTGTGTCTCTATCGAAAAATTAAACCTCATTCTCCCCATGTAAAATTGGACTCTGTCTGTAGGGGGCACTTATGGGGCAATTTCATGTTTTACACTTTCAGTTTACCCAAACTCGAGAGTTGAACTATCAAATCAAATTTTGAGCAAATCAGACCTTGCATGTGCAAACTTTGGCCATTTACTGTGCATAATAGCGCCTCCTACAAATACTTTTTAGTCTTTTACCAAAGACATAAAAATAAATCATTTGTTGCCAGAAAAAAAACGTAATAAAAGAATATGGTGAGTTTTTGTGCATGCTCAGTGGGTCAAATATGAGATCAAACAACAGGAAAACTAAATGCGCTGTTTTACTCAGCCTGTAGGGGGTGCTAATGGGACAATGTCATTGTTTACACATTCAGGCGACCTAGGCCCAGGAGTTGAACAACCGAGTCAAGTTTAGTGCAAATCAGACTTAGTAAAGGCCATTCTCACCTATCTAAAACTTCACTCAGTCTGTAGGGGGCGCTAATGCTGCAATTTAAGCTTTGTTTCTATTCTTAAAATGGGGAAAAATTTCACATTTTGCTGCTCAAACAATGTTTCACTGATCAAAATTCCCTGAAGTCATTTTGATGGTACATGTGTTGAGATTGTGGAACGGCCGAGGCTGGTGTGATTTTTGTGCAAAGTGTACAATTGCCATAGACAATGAATGGGGAGCGTTTGTCGTCGCCACGGCAACGAGGTAAAAAATAAGCCTTTGCCCCTTTTGACTTTTTGAATCAAGAGGGCAAAACAGATGTATATGCAAAATTTCAAACATTTTGAAAAAACTAAATGTGAAAATTCCCATATAAAACTTTGAAATAGTCTGAAGGGGGCACTAATGTGTCAATTTGAAACATTTCACTTTCAAATGACCTAGACCCTAGAGCTGAACAATGTATTGGAATTTTGTCGTCAAATCAGATATTGTATGTGCAAACGGGAACATATTTAATGTTGTCAATTTTTCCATTTTGCAGTGAAATTCATGGGCATCCTGTTTGTCAGAGGGCGGGGCCATAATAATAATTTTTCTTGTCCTGACTTGAGGAACATGTGTACCGAATTTCATGGCTCTACGACAAACTTGACCTCCAAAACTCCCATAGGGGTTTTATTTTGGCTGTTGTAGGTGGCGCTGTTCTGGCATTTTTTGAGTCCCATAAAAATAAACACCAAAATATCAAATTTTTTGCCAGGTCTGATTTTTGGCTGGGACTCGATTAAAAAAATTAATCTAAGTAATTAGAGGCTTTGTAATTAATTAATCTAGATTAATCGCATTTTAATCGCATATAAATATTTGTCCTGAGAACAGTGAGAAGTAATTTTTTCACATGGATTTTTAGTTTACCATTGAATAATGACTGAATACATAAGCTTAAGCAACACATGTTCATTGTGGAGGATCAGACGGACTCCTTTCCATCCAATAACATTTCAGTTGGTAGAGCATTGGCCAGAGGGTCGTGGGTTCGAGCCCGACCTTCACCATCGACTCCTGCTGTCGTTGTGTCCTTGGCAAGACACTTAACCTCTGGGAACACCAGCCACAGTGGGGCGGCTGCGGCTGTAAAGTGCCAAACTGCCGTTGTGTCCTTAGGCAAGACACTTCACCCCCGTTGCTTAGAATGAGTCTGGTGTGTGTATGAATGGTTGGTGGTGGTCGGAGGGGCCGATGGCGCATATAAAACCGACGCATTATTATTATTATATTATACACTTCTCAAGCCCCAAATCGACTGCACTCAAAGTGAGTACAAAAGCTTATAATACGTTTTTGATTTGTGCATTCGAACTAAAACAAGGGTGCTCACACTTTTTCAGCATGCGAGCTACTACTACATTTTTGTAGTAGTAGCTCGCATGATCTACCTACTAAAAAAATGCAAAACATATATTTATTTCAAAATATATTGAGGATTCTTTATATCTACAATGTATGTTGATGTACATGCAAAACCGCATGATTTATGAAATAATACTTGTGTAAATATCACTCTGCACCTTAATAATTTAACTTCACATCGCACTTTTGTAGCACTGTACACATATTTTAACACGCTAATTTGCACATATAATGAAGAGCACACCATTGTTGGTTTTATAACATTTATTGAAAAGTAGTTTGTCCCGATTCCGATCGGTCTGCGGAGACAAACAAAACAGCAATTTGAATTGGGCTTTGTGCAATATATGTGGTGTATTTTAAATTAGCTGTGTTTGGTATGGGTTTGGGTGTGTGTGATGTGTGGTTTTAGCGGGTGAATGGTATTGTGTGGCTGTGTGTGTATTTTTAAAATGCTTTTACTCACCAATGTCTTGGTCGGCACTAGATCATATACGGAATCGGGACGAAACCGGAAGTAACACTCGTACTTTCGAATTAGTTTTAGACTAATATGTCCTTAAGTGGTGACTGGTTAAGTTTTAGGCGTCTGAGTAAGATGGTTAAGGGTTAGGGTTAAGGGTGGGTTGGGGTTATTTTATGGGAATAGCTGGTTAAATTTAGGCATTAATAGGTAATTTGTAATATTTACTTCCGCTTCCGTCCCGATTCCGTATATGATCTAGTGCTGACCCCAATGTCTTGTGTCCAGGTTCGTGGGCCAAAAGAGTCCCCGGGGTACAAACACCTGACTTTATGGTTCCGGCTGGACCAAGTCATTGAATTGGTGGAGGGGGGGATTTAGCACTGTTTTAATCATAGTTTGTAAATATATATTTTTATAGGTTGATGTTTTAAGAGTATATTTTTGTAGGGGGGTGTTTTATTGGTCTAGTTGGTTGTGGGTATTTTAATGGAGGGTTTTAACATAGTTTTATTAGCTAATGTTAATAGTACACCTGCTGCTGGGGAACAGATGCTCCTGTCCTCCGTTCACTGTATTACTTTGTTTTGCATTTTTGGACGTTTTTGTTTGCACTTGGTCACTTTAGAAAAATAAGAAAAAGAAAAGACAAATTAAAGCCGCAAGCGGCGTCAAACGGCCCTCGCCGCACCGCGCGACCCCCCTGCACCAAGCCGCTCCACAACGGCCCGCACTACTCCGCACCACACCGTACTGCGCAGCACCGCGCAAAGGAGGTGGCACCGCCGTGTGATGATTTGTTCCCGTAGTCATAGAAGAATGTTAGTCAAATTGTAATGAATATGATAAGTAGAGCTGGTTTGGCTCCCCATGTAAACTTTGCTTCAGTCTGTAGGGGGCGCTATTGGGCCAATTTCAGATATTTCACTTTCACCTGACCTAAACCCTGGAGTTGAACAATGGATTGAAGTTTAATGCAAATCAGACTTTGTTTGTGCAAACGGGAAAAAAAATAATCAAAAACGGCCAAAAAAAACCTCACATTTTGCCGCTCCGCTGCTCAAACAACGTTTCATTGATTAAAATTTTGAAGGTACATGTGTTGAGATAATTTGGAGCATTTTGAGGCCAATCGGTGAAACGGCCGAGGAGGAGTCGCTTTCCAACCGACATGTATGAAAACTTTTGCTGTTCATTTTTCCATTTTGCAGTGAAATTTATGGGCTTCCTGTTTGTCAGAGGGCGGGGCCATAATAATATTTTTTCATGTCTTGACTATAGGAACATGTGTACCAAATTTCATGTTTCTACGACAAACTTGACCTCCAAAAAGTTCCATAGGGGTATTATTTTGGCTGTTGTAGGTGGCGCTGTTCTGGCATTTTTTGAGTCAAAAAAAAACCAACACCAAAATATCAAATTTTTTGCCAGGTCTGATTTTTGGGCAAAATGTAACAACTTTTCATGCATGTTCAGGGGGTCAAATTAAGGCTCAAAGAGCAGGAGAAAAAATAAATAAATAAATAAATAAACAAGGATTTTTTTTTTTTGACGTCTCGAGCAAAAACAATATAGATTTCAATGGCACCTGATACATCATTTTAAAGCGTTTGAGTTTACGCACGCAACCGTCATGTCGGGGTGACACCATTTGTTTTCACCATTGTGAAAGC